ATATATATATATATATATATATATATATATATATATATATATACAGTCCAAGTATTGTCTTCTTTTGTCTACAGGGGAATCACAGGGACCTACGATACTGTAGCGTCCTGAGACTCCCTGAAGACGAAAGAAGACGAAATACTCGGGCAGAATATATATATTCAGCACGGAGAAGGTGTCCGGGCTATTGGCATGGCCCAAAAGGCCAGCTCACCCAGCCGGGTACGAGGGGGCTAATTCAAAGTACAAAAGTCGCGCCTCACCAAAACCGAAGGATAAACCACTATCGTATTACAATACTGTGTTAATATCCATCTAGGGTAAATATACTGATAAAGTTGTTTTATAGTAATCTCACAGCCCTTAACTTTGCAAATATACCCTTTAGCATAATCTGACTTGTTTTTTTGTTAACAAATTGTGCATGAACACGGGTAATTAATCTATCCAGTAGTCTTTTTATCCATGCTCATATTTGGGGAGATTTAATAAGCTGTAAGATGTAAATAGCAAGCAATTAATATTACAAGTAAAAAAATTAAATACAGTTTATTATTCTTTACGCGTTAATTTATCCGCATATTTATGATAAGTGTGCTTTTAACGAGTCAACTGCGAGGCGGGTGGTTCGAGTTCCCGTTTCTCGTGCTTCGGTGGGTTACTTTCGTGAAAATGTCAAATAGCCTTGAATCACTTCCTCAGACATCTTACTTAAGTCTGGCCAGGAATTTGGTTGGATGTAATGATTGGATTCAGGTATGTATTCCAAGTGGCACACCCCACACTGTGTACAAACCAAATCAATAATCATGGAGTGTACTTGATATGATTTTATCATTTTTTAGATCTCGCGCTTATGCGCCCTGTGCTTGCCAAATGATTTTAAGACAGGTTTCATCCTTGATGGTGATCGACAATGTGCTCTTGTCAGTCTAGGGATATATCTTATTGAGTCAGATCTCAACGTAATGTGTGATTAGACTGTCTTACCTACCACTAGTTCATTGATAAGATTTTGCCGTTATTATTGAGTGCTCAAAAGGTGCTTGTAAAGTGTTCTATGCCTTCCACAGAGATTCAGTCAAAAAAATCTGAGCGTAAGTCATCTGATGTTTAATCTTCCCCTATTTAGGTTTGCCCGATGCGGAGTGCTTTGCATTTTGCCTATCAAGTACACTTACGCAGGTGGCCGTCCGTTACCCACCATCTTTTGATAAGGTTATTCTTTCATGGCTATCTTATACCACCAGCTCGAGAAACTATTCTATCAACCCAGCCTATGGTTTTACTGTATGCCCAATCGAGCCCCTTTCAACTGTTTTTAGAAGTGTTTATCACATACACTCGTTTTTTTTTTCACTAAGAAGACATGCGCACGCTAATTTATGGATCTGATGCCCTTATTTTTACTAGCATAACTAATATTTTTGCGTCGGCATTATGTAGGAACCCAGTTTGGCTGGATCTTGTCATTTATCATGTGGTGGCAAATATCTCGGTTTCAAATAACTTGCTTTACTGTACATCGTGCTGCCTTTAGATTATAACGACAATTTTGGAATCCGCTCAAAGTTTAATCTCAGCTCTCGAAGACAACTATCAACAGTTAATTGAACCTTTCCAAACTTTGACGAATTTGATTCTTCAAAAAATCGGTGGCGTTTCTCCTGTGCCAACGCCTGAATCTTCTTTGTTGAATAGCGCTCAATGGGCTTGCATTGATCGCGTGTGTCTGTTCCTGGCGCCTTCTCTGTTGGGTCTTTTGCGCGGACTTGGCCGGGCATTCAATCCTAGCAGTTGTTATCCCAGTATTGTCTCGGCTCTCTTCCCATCCACATCGGGTAGCCCAAGACGATGTGGTAACATAATGAATCAGCCAAATTTCGACCAAATTAGGAGATTTTTTCCGGATTTTCGGTCAATAATTCCACAGTCGCTTGCTAATAAGTTGGGACGGAACAAAACTAACCACGAATGTGAGCTAATATCTAGGCTCATTTTTTCCGTCATATTCACTTCATTGCCCTTTGCATGTGTTTTAGTTGACCCAAATCAAACTTTTTCTGTGATTGAGTAATTGCGATACTTATTTTGGTTGGTCTTCTATTATCAATTGTTAAAAGGTATTTTCATTTGTTAACGCCGCTTATTCGTTTTTACTAAACACAGTTTTCAGTCATGCCTACCTTTTAGCTGGATTCCTTAATGGATTGTCCAAATTTTATAAATACGCGAATGCCTGTTATCGATTCCAGTTTGATTAATTACGCAGCCTCTAAAAAGTGCTGTACCTCTCTTATCACTTACAACAAGTGTGGTAAATTCTTGCTTGCTTGTAAGCGATTACTGAAAATTGTGTATATATCTCCTATAAGTCCTAAGCAATCCTCAATCAACCTGCGAGGCCTGTGGTAAGCTTCGACCAACAGAAGAGGGGGATGCTCTGGAAGAAGAGGCATCAATCTCGGAGACCGTTTGTTCGGCCGGAAAGCGGTGTTCCTTCACCCACAGGAATGGTGCTGCATCCTGTGTGGGGAGCGGTCGTTGCTGGTTAAGTTGTAAGGGCAGTGAATATCTGCTGTGCAGTATCGGTTCCGTCTACGGTAGTCGATTGCCTCACCGAGCTGTCCTCAATCCTGATGAGGAGGACGACTGTGCAGATCTCGATATGGTTACTTTTTCGACTAGTCATATGAAAGCCATTCTGAAGATGGTAAGTAATTACTGAATGAAGCACTGATTGTACTGCAAATGCCTGCTACTGCTTAGACTAGTCAATTTCATTAATTTTGCACTTCAGGCCACGGTTTTTCTTCAAGAACGTCTTATTAAATGGCTTGACGCATTAGCAGCCCTTTTCTGGCAGGTAAGTAAATAGCATTCACTTAGAGAAAACTTGCGGACCTCAAAGAGTTTGGCTATTGTTAATTGCGCATGCAATCAGTGGTGAATAGTTGATGTCGATGGTTTTAATTACGACGGAAATGTGAATTTAAATTCATGGCTGCGATTTTCATGTAGCGTAAACATTATCGTCGGTCAAAAGGATGAAATTATTTTTTTCAAACGCTTAGAAGTCATGCAATTCTAAAAGTGTTTATGGATGTCAAACTGCAGTTTTAGACTGGAGCAAATACGTTTGTTCTCTTAAATCCCTACTTAAGTGCAAACGCCTTATTGAGATTACGGCTACTTAGTTTCGTTGACATTAAACGAAAGGATATAAGTTACCATGACATCAATGCCTTAAGTTCCTAAATATTCCTTTGTAGCATCGCCAGCGAGGAAGCGCTTATCCCTATCGCTCTTTTAGCAGTTGTTTTCGGCTCTGCTACCTCCTTCTTTTCCGTGATATTTTACGAAATAAGAAACAAAGTAAGCTTTCAGCTAATTAGTACATCACTTTTCTGCCTTTTTCTATTAAATAGAGTGCTTTTTATTTCTTTCGTAGAATTTACCGAAAAATTAGTGTCTACTGTTCAATCGATAATTGAGGATATTTACTCCACGTGCTACGTTGAGCAGGTAAATTTGCCTGCTGAAATAGCATCCCAAGTGGCTCGACGTTCAGCAACCTTGGCCCATCCTCGGGATATATATCGGGGATGGGGTCCCGAAGGTTCTCTTAAGGCCTCATTAGGTACTCGGCACCCACTATCACCTGGTACGGATGAGGGAGTTGACGAGAGCACTTTAGCGATACTCGACTCCTCCTTTCCGCGCAATGATCAGACTCTCATAGATGATGGTTGCAGTCACAAGCAACCAAGCAATAATGAGGTTTGTGACTTCACTCCTTCCTCTCGTTTATCATGGATTCCGAATCTGTCTGACAAGTAGTAGTGACGTGCCTTTTGTTCTACGCACAGAACTTGATTCGAGCTCTTTATTTTTAGACTCCAATTGTGAACTCATGGTTAGCCATTTTAATGCAAATCGAATGGAGACGTCGGCTCTGATTTTCATTTTTCATTATGCACGATTCTGTATGCATTGATATAAATAAGCCTGTAATCTTGTTGTGATGCAAATGAATTAAACGATGTGTAATCATTTCAATCACCACGCCTATTCGTTTGATGTTATCGCACGCTTTCTGTCACTTTAGTGACCTTACACTGTCAGTTTTCCAGCACGGCTTAAGGATTTAGCAATGTAGGCTATATGTTTCTCGGTTTTTTTTCTCCGTACGCAATCTATTCGAAGAACGTACCGATCTTCTGATTTTACTCCCGTCAGAAGAATAGGCGCTGTGTCCGCGTGCTCCTGCTCCGTTGCTGGTTTCCAAAAGTTGCTACGCTTTTAGACATATTGACTTCGTTACTTCATCATGCAGTGTCTACCAGACAGGCCGGAAGTGAATCCAGGATATTATAGAAGTATCTAGGCGACCACTTTGACACACGTAATATCGGTAATGTGCCGGTGTTCGAAGTCAGAAGAAACATATTATAATGGGACATTTTTTTGATTTGTCAATGATTTTTACCATTGGCGAGCCCATTTAATTTTACCCAGTGGTGATGTGCGTCAATGGCGATTTAATTAAACTTGCTTTACGACATAATGTAATTAATTCCACTTGGTTTGATTTTCTCATGTGTGTCCTCGGGAACTTAGTTCAGTTTACTAATTGTACCGCGGTTCGGTGTGCTGAAGTTTAGGTGATCAATCCATTATTGGAAACAGGCTTGTTTTATCAAGATGCTGTTGTGAACAGATGTGAGTACCTGAGCGAGTTCGAGATTACTTTTTCCTTCATAGTCGCGTATGCGACTGCAGCACCTCGGGCTTTCCCTTGTGAAATACCAAGAAATAAAGTTCTTTCAACTAGAGATAAATAATAAACTGTGTGTGTTTTAAGTTTAGCAACCGATATGCTACCTCGTTTCATCACAGGTAGTACGCTTGGTATCACGATGTCCAAAAAATAAAAAATTCAACCTTTCTGTATCTCCAATGTTTATTATTTCCCATAGTGATTTAGCATACATGTTTTTTCATAATTATAGTGAATTGTGCGAACAAGTAGTGAGTTTTATCAGTTGTAAGGAAAGCCCATTGAGTTTTATGCGTCTGTTCTCATGATCACTATGAGATCTTTAAATAGCTTTTACCTAGGCTTTCTTTGACCTTAAACTGCTTCAGTCACTTGAAATGTCGTGACCTTACTTTTATGTGATGTTTCATAGCATTTTTCCTAGTCCTACATTTCTAAATGCTTCATGAGTAAATGCTTTTTGGAAAAGCTTGAAAACAGGTTCTGTTTTATCATAGATCATAGGTTTACTAGTCTAAATCTTTTCGAAAGATCATTTCACAAAGGGAATATTAGCAACGTGGTGTTAACCTATATGTTGCTAAAACCTATAATTCTTGTTTATATTTCTATAAAGTAATTCTGAAGGGGGGAAAACCCGGCGAGCGAATTTATAAAATGAAATTTCATTTGATGTTAAGTTTTACGCTTGTTTATTAATGGTTTTGTTGTTTTGGGTTCCCTGTAGACTGGCGAAGCTGCCTACCAGTCGCGGAGAGATATCAGGCGGAGCTTCTTCCTGCCTGAATATTATTCCACTGACGGCACCAAGGACGTGCTTCTCCCGACCGTTCGTCTGCAACAGTCATCCACTCCTCTGCGCCTCGATCCGGATATGGTGGCTGCAAAAATGTTTGACTTTGAGCTGGTCACTGCTTCTCTTGCGGCCTGCCTTCAAATACTTACTCAAATTGCCACTGAATACAAGGGTTTGTGCATTTAATCCGACTTTGAGCCAGTCTAATTAACCATCATGCCTCTTCAAATTATTTTCTCATCCCTCCTTTGGGGAACTCCTTTTGAACAATTTGGTCATGTTTGACTGTGTTTGCATCATGCCACTTTTGCCATTTCTTAGATGCGGAAAGTCTGCTGAACCGTCTAACAGAGCGAATGAAATCGGCGATCGATCCACCAGCTGCAGTATTAACGCCGACGACTCCGGGGTCTTTCTCACCCTCGCCGTACGAAACAGTTCGAAATGGTGGCACTCTGCATGGCGAGTTGAGCAATCATTACCGCGCCTACCGCCAGCAGCAGTCGAACGCGCACGCTGGTCTACTCGTCGTGGTGCTTGAATGTGTGGGCCGACTGCCCCAGCACACTCCCTACCTCTCCAAAACTGCACTAGACTGCCTTAGTGAATTCCTCCTCTATCCAAGTCCCACTCTGAGCAAACTCAACCGCAGCGTATATCGTAACATAAGTAGTCGAAGGTCAAATGCGTCTGCCAGCATCAAGGTACGATTGTACTTTCCGCAAGACTTCACATATTGATCAGAATGGCATATGCTGACATTTTACAATTTGTTACATGAATTCATTATGTACATTCAATTGAACTGCATTTTCGTTCGTATGGGGCAAATTACAATTTGTTCCCCAAATTTGAACAACCATCGCAATGGATCACATGTCCCCATGCTGAACGTGGTTTGCCTACATGATTTGCGGCAACTGTTAACTCATGCATGAGTTCGACATCAGCTACTGCGATACTTGTTCGTTTTTTACAGGCGTCCCTAATACGACCTAATTTGTGCTACGAGAATTCACTTATTTTACTTGCATGCAGACCAGAACTGCAACTTTGGAACAGACTGGACACAGCAGACGTCCTCATCGAGCCCAAAGACTCCTGGATAAAATTCGCGGGACAGCAATTCAGAGTCTTTGCCGGTAATCCATGACGTACTTTTTATTAACTTATCGGTGATCTGTGCTATTCTGTGCAAAAAAACACCCAACATCCTTTCCACTTCCAAGGCTTAACGGGAAATTATGCAAATGCAAAAATGCTAGCTTTTATCTAATTGCCGGCTGGTCTGTAAAACACGTGAATTGATTTTACTTTCTTAAAAGATGTTACTTGTCTCTCTTTTTCATAAGCAATGATGCAATCGAGGATTGTGTGTAATTCGCTTTGGTTATGTTATTTCCTAAAACATGCGAAACCACTTATTGTATTTTCTGATAATGAACCTCTATAATGGGTTTCACGTTTTAGAGTGTTGCTTACAAACCAGAGCTATGTGGATAGTCTCTTGGCGGAGCTTTCACGGAAGTTATACAACGCTACCACTGAAAGTGATAGGTAAACGTTTACACCTATAGTTTGATTCATGCTGTTGATGATTACCAATGGACATTCTTTTCAGTGGATCAAGTATTTTTGTGTTTAGGAAAATTTGGGAAGTTGGCAAAGACCATCTTTACGGTTAAGCGTACTGCTTAGAACACCTATTTATTTTTAAATGTTTTAAATGAAGTTCAAATTATAAGCAGCCATCTTAATGGCCAGACGCCACTGTCACGTCAGGCATGAACACTCGTGTCATCACATCTCATTGAAATCGATTGAACGCTTGTGAGAGGCGGCCTGCAACGTGACTACACGAATATTATTTTTTCATTCTTTCGTACTAGCTGTGCGTTTTGGCAGTATGGAATAGCGTTCTTGCATTATTGAAATTTCCCTTTCCATTTTCACAGGGACACGGATTTAATCTACCAAAATGTAATCCTCACCCTCGGTTGGATGGGTGTAGAGTTGGCCAATGTTCCTAACACGCAGGACCAAGTTCTGCAACTCATTCAACAGTGTCTTGAAATTTCAAGTGTTTCTCTCGAGCTCACTGAAAAAATTACTGATCAGTGTAGTTGTATGGTAATTGCTGGATGTGTAAGTTTGCTCACTAACCTTTTGGTGGCTCTTTAATCTCATTCCTTTGGTAAAAATACTAATTTTCTGGCGACTTACGCCTTCGACCGTCGTCGTTATGCTGTTTGTGCTTCCAAGCTATGGTTTTTGTACTTTTTTGACCGAATGGTATTAAGGCAAATGCAGGAGGATTAAGACCATCTGGTCTCCTTTAAATGTTTGCATTAGTGCGGCTTAACTCCTGCTTTAACCCACTACATATTGAACTTTTGTGTATTAGCTCTGTTATCATAGTGATTATAAGCGTCATCTAGATAACCTTGTATGCCATCATGAAATTTCAGTTGGCAGATGACGTGTGCATCTGGTGGTGCTCTTTTGCATCCTTAGGTGTCATACATTTTCTTGTGTGAACACTACCCATGATTGTGCTCTGATAGCATAAGTTATTCTTTAATTTCCCTGATACATTAGTTTGTCGTCTTGTTTAAAACGATATTCTTCGATTTTTTGCTACAAGCCCTATAACAGTGGTTTAAATGAGTGATATTTTGCCTACAGATTTCACCCGAATTAGCCGGTGTAGTTGATGTTGGCCTACGGATTCGGTCGTTGTCGCTGAGCCGCGGCATTGTTTCTAAGTAGTCGATAGAAGTGATTCAGTTCAATTTACTTTGTTACATTTTCTAGCCCCGTGAGTCAGTGCATAAAAACACTGTAAGTGGGAAAAACCTACACATTCGCATCACGATTATGCATTCACTTTCACCAAGTCTTTTTAACAAATATCACTATGTTCCATGCACCGACAACGGGCTACATCAATTTAAAACATGGGAGATGTATGCTTCGTACTGACTTTATTCCGCTGCATTCCTAACCACCAAAATTTAAGCACCCTAAAGGTTATTTTATTTGGTAATTTTGAGCACACCGTTTCATATCAGACCTGGTCGACTTTGTTTCTGGGTTGGTGTTTTTAGCACATTTACCGTTTTTTGGCCGAATTCATCGTTATTTTTTATCTTTTAATATGCAAAGCGCGGTAAATCAGAGGCAACGTTAAGCTTAACTGTCCGTCTTTCGTGTGCACATTATGTGAAGAAATAAACTCCTGCTTAGCTTCCTGATGCGTTGATCGGCCTCACACGTTCACATTTATCAATTTGCTCCTACTTGTCGTAGTTCTGTCCCTCTACGTGTACAAGTTATTATGAACGTTGCTTCTCACAACCTGCTTAATACTGGGTTGCATGTCACCACTGTCGTACTAGATTTTGGGGCACAGTTTACACCTTCGTTACCTTCTTGTGTCCAGCCTACCGTCTACCACCAGATCATGGCGCTCTTCATGGATCGCAGTGTCAAATCGGCCAAACTCTGCCTCTCCTCTGGTCCCATTCCTGACCCTGAGAATGAGTAAGTAGCGATGAATTCCTAATTTCACTCTGAGCTCGACTTTATTTAGGCTGTTTACGATCTCGGCATCGGTGAAGTGCAATTGACAAAGCAAAATCGGTGACATGCTTGTTCTTAATTGTTGATGTCTCATCTACTACTTTACTTTTTCGTTGGGAAATTTTTAATTCAAATTTTCGTAAAATTTATTGATTAATGTGCACTGTGCGATTGATAATCGTGTCAACACCTTTCAGATGCTTTTCTAGTGACACTTGAAAAGTCTTTTTGTTTCAGGGTCACGCATTACCCTTTGCTTTTCATTCACGTTTTGATCCTAATTGTGCACTTTTTATTAGAAGAATTGAAATAGGTTTTCTGCTCCTTACCGTTTTTGCTTATTCTAACCTTTCACGATGTGCCACCGAAGTTATTTGTGGTTTTACAATCATTCACAAATTTTGTAAACTCGTTCAAGGGCAAGGTTTTGACCCTCCGCTTCGGTTATTTGTGCGCCTCGCAGGCTGTTTATCTCTTAACGGAGCGTTTTCATGCTTTTCGTAAGACTCCGGTTTCCAGATGCCACTAGCCAGTTGAAGAAGTTTCTCTTCTGTGTAATTTTGTTACACAGACGTATCGAATAATTTTTATGGGTTTTAGCTGATTTCAATCAACCTTTTAGGTGTTGGCCGAGTTTTTTTCTTCAGTCTTCCCTGGCGATGCATCTCGAGCTTGAAATTTATTTGTGAGATTGGGTCGGTGCTTATTATGATAAGCAATATTTTCTTTGTACCGGTTTCCTTGTAGACGTATGTTTGTTAGCGTCATCAATGGACTGGCTAACATGGCCGCCTGGATTCAGGGTGAGGCGGAACTGCTCGATTTACTCGGTCGTCTACTGGAGCACTTTGTTCAGCTCGACGTAGAGCTACGAATAGATCTAAAGAATAGGGAGACTGTAAGTTGGCTACCTGCCTCACTACCTTAAGCTTGTAATGTGTTAATTCTCTGATTCCAGCATTATGGTTAGATCTAAACACAAGGGTCTGGATTTCCACAATCCTTTTTTTGGTTGAAGGTCTCTACATCTTACTGCACAGACTATCTCATTCCAGTTATCGCCGTGGTAAGTGAATTTACAACTATCCATTGTAAGGCAAGTGTTATGGCTTTGTGTGAAATTTTATTCAACCTTTATAATGCTTTTACACTTTGATTTCATCTACTGCTTGAAGAAATGGCTATTTATACCTACACAGCTCCTCTATCGGTTGCCACCGATAACCAACCCGAAGGTTCGTCTGAGGAAACTTTTTCGGGACTTTTGGTTTTACAGTGTAGGGCGTGATATCATCCAATCGAATTCCAGTAAGTCATTTCCATATTCACAAGAATGTGTGCACATTAATATAACGCAATTTATTGTTTTCAAGTAGCTTACGCATACTAGGTGGATTGGTTGCCCCCCATGATTTTGTTCATACAACAATAGTATTTGTTATAAAATAACACAATCAAGCCTATGAGCTAGCTATTACATTATTTCACTAAATCCTCTTTATTTTTGGAAAATTCTGCACTTGTAACGCGTGATGGTAAATTTGAACGTGGCCTATTTATTTTACTTCTTTGGATTTCTAAGATGATCAGTCAGTGCATTTGGATCTGGCTTACATTGATATAGGTCCTACTTTTACATTACGTAAGGTGGGAATGGAAGCTGATCGCGTATTTCATTTATAATCGTAGAGATATTCAATCATGTACTTGATCTAGTAATTCTTAGTAATTTCCACACGGGAAGTAGTGGACAAAATTTCATTATTTTTGCATATTCCAACAATCCTTATTGCACCTTTTTTTCTTACCTTAAATGTCTAACATTCCACAGGCGCCCGGAATTTGGATTTGAGTTTTCGTGAGATAGCCGCCAAATCCCCAACGCTACTCAGCAGGGAACCTCTTCGTTCCGATTTACAGTACGCCGAGTCTAAAGTCATGAATCAGGTTTGTTTGTGAAGTTTTAAAACACCCTAATGGTTTTCTTATTTGTTTTACTTTGCTCTTGCAGAATTTGTGCATGAATTGGCTTTACTTTATGAAAACTGATCATCTCTCGTGCTTTATAGTCACTTTTTCATGCTCTTATATTTTCATGATTGCCTATCAGATGCTCCCCAAAATTGGTAACCCGACTGAAATTTGGCTTCTCTAGTAGGATACATTTCATCCTCATTAGTTTAAGCCAATCAACTGTTTCGACCTAACTATGTCGCTAACTCTAAATATCCGTCTTTTGATGCCCCGGATGCACCTAAACATTTGCTCACGAAGGTACTACAAATCTCTAACATTCACGATTTTCGTATTTACTAAACCATCCTTCCTCATGATGGGTGTGCATGCAGTGGACTTCGTTTGATTTTTACGGAATGTATGAGTCGTTGCTCGAGTGGATTGAAGAGGGAGACGTAAGTGTTCTGACCTCAGCACCCGCAAGCCCCCCCGTTTATGCGGCCTATTTGTTGGTTTATCTGTTGGTATCTTGACAATCGAGTGCTCTCTCACGCTCTCACCGCCCTGAAATGCTGTTTCGCAAATGTTTTCTCAGTACTGTCGATGCAAACATCATCGTGTTGTTTTATTTGCCTATTTTTCGCCTTGACCCCCTACAGTTCTCTTTGCATTTCTAATGAAATATCATCGTGGTTTGTTTTGGCTTCCTTCGGTGAAGTGTACGATTACTCTTCTCACTCAATAGCTAACTTATTGAACTTTGCATAATTTTTGTTGGCATTGCCATTTTTAGCGAGTTTAAAGCAGTACCTTTCGCCAGCGTTGATTTGTTGCAAGATTTGATGTGCGTTGTGGTCTGTTGTTGCGCGCTGGCAGTGCAGCAACATTGTGGCGCTGCGGTGTGCGGTTTGCCCAAATAGAGAATTGGAATGCACTTGTGAACGTACACATCGGTCAATTTTTATCCGTAGATCTAACGTTACTGCTTTGACTTTCTTCCAGTTGAGTTTCCCTAATATTGTTCCCTCGTCTTCTTAAAAGAGACATTGCGGGGTATTTATTATCTTGTCACACGAGTTTTAGGCAACTCAGCAAAATTTAAGGGACCAACTCTGCGCCATTCTCGCTCCAACCGCGAAGTCTGGGGGTTCGGACAGACCTACCGCCACCAGTATTAAACTGATGAGCATCACCCAGTCTGCCTACCTGATGTCTGTCTACCAGTTGGAGTCGCTTCGGTTCGTTTTCAGACTCTGTTCTTACTAGTGGGCTCACTGGTGTCAATTTCTGACCGGCCATTGTTAAGTCGATATCTATGCTCACTAATATTCAAGCCTCAAAGGCAGTCACCAGTACAAATCCCCCAATTTATTATTTTTCTACCATATCAGATCAAGATTCAGTCGTTTATGTAGCATGGAAACTATTTACCCTAGACTGATCCATACGACTGGGGTTATGTATTCCCTTTTCAGCAATTCCTACTTTTATTTCTTATGCCAGTGAAAACTTTAATACGGCTTCTTTTACTTCTTTAGAATTGAACATTCCAGTGACTTAGATGCCTTCCACAAAATGTTCCAGTACCTCGAAGACAGCACAATTCGAGCGGATAAATCAGGTAATGAATACCATTTGCTAGCAAGGTCCTTTTAGGGTAGTACATAGCCTTATGGGTGTTTTGTGGGATTTGCGTGGGTGTTTTTAGTGCAGATTGTTTTCCAGTATTGCTGGCATCCTGAGCCTGAATACGGGGAATTTCATGCGATATTCCGGGTTAGTTTTTCGGTTTTTAGATCGTTCATTGGGACAATTTTTGTTATTCTCATCATGTCTGAGCAGTTTTGCAAGGTGTGTTCAGTTGCTGCCAAATTTTATGATAAATTTACCACATCCTTGTAGTAAGCAGGTCATTCCTGCCATTCCTTTTTAGGTCAGGCTGAATTAGGTTTAATCCCTTGTACTTACTCTTAGGTTTAGTATCATATTTCGAAGTGTTTGTTTTGCTTTGATTAATTGCATAATACTTGTAGGTTGACTGCATTTGCTTTTCAGATATGTGGGCTTGTATTATGCAAGTGGCTGTGCGGATCTTTCAACGTCTGCTCCAACGCTTAAGCAATATGGTATGGGTAGATTGTCAGTTTTTTACTCCACCGAATGCTTTGGTTTGCTCCTCCTTGGTGTTCTAGTTTTTCATCAAGATATCTCCTAGTTATTGTCAAACAAAATCATTCATGGAGTTACCACCCGAATCCTAATTAACTCAATATCTTTAATTCATTTCCCTATTTAAGTATCAGCTTTATTTCTAGCCCTTTTCATCTAATCCTTTTGAGCTCAGCGGCTTCTTCATAGTGTGATCATCAAATCGTTTGACCTCAGAATACAGTGAGCTTGTTTCATAGAGTTTCGTACTGCCTCTAGCAAATCTGTGTTAGCCTTTTTAATCATGGACCAAATCATGTATTTATGTGATAGCTAACTAGACAGGCTTGTAGTCCCGTTTTAAATGATAGCCAATTTTTCACTTATCTACCCTTAATTCCCAGCATGTTTTTCCTGTGCCCATTCGATTCGACCAGTAGGCATCGCTTAGCTCGATTACTTCCAGTGTTTTATTGTCTCAGTATATGTGATGTCTTCTTTCACACCGATTCGAGGAATTCCTTTGAGACATCATTTCAAAATGTTGCTTTTTTAATTGGACATAGCCAATGGACGTCAAACGGGAGGCGATTGTCGATATGCATGCCCAGTTTCTCCTGGTAAAATTCAACCATATTCAGAAGGGTGTCCGCATTGTTGCTGATCAGTTTTTGAGTGATCTGGCAAGAGCGTAAGTCTGGTTTTCAAACCGGTATCCAATTCTACTGTCTAATCAGTAATTCCCTTTTGAAATAAACACTTTGCATCATTTTACGTGAGACTAAATTTAACCATTTTTTTGGGGTAAAGTGATTTAAATGCCTATGTATACTACAAAATCGCAATGCGTGCACACAAACCCAACCTTGAGCGCGTTTGATTGTGCTCGTTGATGTTACACGTCATTTGCTTCGTGGCCTCTGAACACCCATCTCGTCAATGGTATTTTATCTCTCTCGTAGTCATTTTGCCAACATGTTTGCTTTTTGAGGAAGTTTACTGTACCGCATCGTCAAACGTTTACGCCATTATGTACTGGTGCTAAATATCTGAATTAAAGTTAACGTGAAATATTTGAGTTCATTTTTTGTAAGCTTACGCCGAAGAGTGATGTATCAACAAACTGGCAACGATCGACCCAAGTAATACACTTTTCGAAAGGCATGTAGTATGTCAGTCGGTGATGAAAATAGTGTTGACAGCAAAGTGGTCGTGGTGGACATACCAGTTAGTGACAAGTCACCTCCTCGTTCATTTTATTCACATTTGGTGCTGATTCGTGTAATCTGGTTTCCGTAAAATAAGCCAAATTTAGTACTCATCAATGCTATAAGGATACCTTTTTGCAATTTCGTAGATGTAAGAAGTTGACTTTTTAATTCATGGACTTGATGATGCCTCTGTAAAATTCCAGATTTCCCCACGTTATGTGGAGCGGAAGTGTTTTGTTCACCATGCTTGATATTATCGAGCTATTGGCTCAATCCCTGGAAATCGTAAGTCAAATTTCTCATCTGAAATGATTAGCTAATTTTCATCTTCCGAAATTTAGCTTCTAATTTCTCCACAAACGTATTCTTTGTAATAAGGCTATATTCCTTTTTTACTAATCGAAATAAACGCATCAAATCGGTGACATTTTGTTACATTTTTACACCGGAGACATTTTAATCTAGTCTCAATGGAGCAAAAGTACTTTTTGCTGAAATCCAAAGTGTTGCTACTTTATCAAGTTTTCATTGCAATATTACCATCTTAGGATCATTTTAATATTTTCCAATCTGTGGAGATTGGTGCGGCCTACATTACAAATACCTGCAAACATAGAAATATGTATGTTTAATCGAGTGTCAATAACGGTTGAACTGCAATAGCCGACCTAACCCGTATCATTTATCATATTTACATGAACGATCTCATCAGTCGTAAAGAAATCGATGTAGAGACTGACCATTTTATCTTTGAGCTTGCTTAAAAGAGTGCTTACTCCTATGCGCCAGGGTATGAACCAAGTGCCACCTGTGTACACCGTTCCCGACACCAACTTCGTCCTCTCTGTTATGGAGACGCGTCAGGATCGGCAACAAATCCTCTCCGATTTCGTAAAGCGCTGCACCTCGGTCATTGAGGAAGGTCTCAAGTGGGCCCCCGGATTGGTGCGATCGCACCTCGCCGAGTACGCTTTGCAGCGGGAGCACTCCTGGCAGGGTCTTCAGCGCCACACCGGCCTCGCTCTCGCATCCGAAATAGTTTTTAATTTCAACGGGCCTCCTAGTCGTGTCATTCATCACTTTATGGTCAGCCGTTTAGTCTACTTTCTTATCTGCTCTTCTGTACGTATCTTATCCCTCTTTTGGATAGCGATTATTATTAACAACGCAGGTATCAGCTTATTACTACTGCGATTTTCGATATTCATGGTGGCTTATTTGTAACGGAATTGGCTTGTGATGGTCGTTGTCATTTTTTAAGGTTACTTGTTCATTATAAAAGAACTTCAATGCTTGTCACAAAAATTTGAAATGATTGTCTTTCATTTAAATCACAAATCCTCTTTTTGTACCAATAAATGTGTTTTGGTTGTCTGATTTTTCAGCTTGGAGTGCTAGAAAAACGATCTAACTACGCAAGATACGACTACTCAAACTTCGTGTGCAATTTAACTTTGCGAAGCAAATTCCTTGGTCAGGTTAGTTTTGGTGTTTTTCAAAAAGACTAAATAAAATTACTGTTTTCGTGGATGCTCTTTTGCATTTTAGATCAATGGATTGTTGAAAAAAAAATTTGATTTAGATCGTATTGCTACAGATGCCATTCAGGAATTTGAGGATGCCTGCAACAAAGGTATCCATTCTTTCTTTTGTAATTGCCTTCTCCTTTACTGCTTTTACCTCCGATGCATGCTCTTTTTGTCATCTTAGCTAAGGAACATGGTGACACGTTGAACTCTAAAAGCACTGAATTCGAGGCTATAGAAGCGAGCCTTTTTACGATCACTGCTCTCCTGGTGGCGCGTGAGGAACAGCCACCGTCCTCTAAAGCCAACTGCCGCGATGATGTCACGGGGACGGACACTGGGATGTGCTCCTGTACCGCAGCTTTCATCAGCGGAATGCAACGGAATCAAGCGTTTGTCATTCAGGGTGTGATGGTGAGGCGTCTTCTGCAGCAGCTCTGTCGGGCACCACTGAAGATCTTCGATCCAGCTATGGTTGAACTCTCCATCTCTTGTTGGTACTGGCTTTTAGCGGCTCGTACACATCTTAAATTACAGGTAATTTTCTTCATATCTTTGTTAATTGAAGGGGCAAACAGTATTAGGAAGTGCAGCATAGCTTATTTGAACTTAGCTTTTATTTCGCTAGTGCAGTTAAGGTCATTTGTGAGGTAGTGATTCTGAGAAACCTTTCAGTACTTTGCTTTAGTGATATTGAGATTGCTAAAATAAGTGTCTGAATGTATATTTTGGGTTTTTAATTGCTCTAATTAGTTTGCAATCATACCACCCCTCATCCCATGTCCTAACGCAGGAAGTACATGATATTGATGGTGGGTGACAAATCGCTAAAATAGCATTCTTATTGTTTGATTTAGTTCTGGAAGCAGTGAGTAGACACTAATTGGTTAATTTTTCATAGTTTACAAGCGAAATGAATGCCGCGTGGAAGTATACGGTGGATCAAGGGATGGGTGCGTTCTCCGATGAGGCAGACGGCTTAGATAGGGATAGTTCTTTCATAATTGTCTCCGATTGGGACACATCATTATCTGGAAGGACTTATGCTTTGCCTCATTGCCTCTGGGCTGATGTAAGTTGTCCTTCCTTTCCTTCCTATTTTGACGTTGGTTTCTACAAGTCGCGTAGGAGTTAGTTTTTTTTCAGTTTCTTTCCGAACGCTTATATGTAGCTCAATCATCAAGTCAGGAGGAGGTGAAGCTCTACATTAGCCTTCTTCAGTATAGCCTTTCTGGGGAAGTCGATTACTTAGCTCGTAGTAGGACCAATGGAGTTGGAACTGATGTCAACAAAGTGGCGAATCCGGTACGTGCACGTCTATCGCGCTCCATGACAGCAATGGGTGTTCGTTTTCGCCTTGCGAAGATGGCTCTTGGTTTGCTTCACAGTGCTGCAACTGCATATACCTATCAATCCGACGTGGCAGACAATTTATCCACCGGTAGTGGTACCACCGGTGTCGGTGGCGTAGTTTCAGCAAATGTATCCCCCACTGCTATGGTGGGCGTGGGACAAACAGGAATAGCTGCCTCCTCTATGGGGACTGCAACAACCGTAATAGGTGGTGGGAGCTGGACAGCTTCGAAAGCGACTCCTGTGCATGCCGCTCTCACTTTACCACCGATTGTGAGATTGTCACTCCGGGAAAAAGTGTACTCGACTCTAATAAACTATTTCAGGTTTGTTTAAACGCTACTATTCCTTATTTTATCTGCTCTCATTCAACTCCATCAATTCCTCTCTTGTTTCCATTAGTTCAGAGCCATCGTACCCTCTCCAAACCGGCATTCATCTTCGAGACGATATCCAAGTTTTGATAGGCATCCGCAGCGCCATTAATATGGAACGTCGTTATCTTTCCTGTCGTCGCTTGATGCGTGAAGAGGCCGAAGCTCTAACGCAGACCTCGGTTCACGGCGGTGCATTCGGAAGTTCAGATGTGAGCCCTCCGATATCCACGCTCAATCGCCACGACACAAATACTATGACGACCACGAGCGTTATTCTGCCAGCTGGACACGCTGTTGTCACTAGGTGTTCGAGCTTTCACACGCCTACACCCCTTACTCAATTTGTACAGGCCTCTACCAGTCCGGTTCCTGTTGGCAGGTATCGTTCCAGTGGACCCGCTCCCCATGTGTCCACGAATACTAACAACGATGGGCCGGGTAATGCTTTTTCCTCCTGCCCCTCGGGAATGGGCAACAGTCTGAGTCAACTAAAATCGTACGCAACATATGCAGGAACTGTCTCCCTCCTTTCCAAACGCTCTTCAACGCTAGGTATGCTCCCATGAAATCAGGTATTTGTTCCATCGGACTAGATAAACAGGCTGTAAAAGTGGTTACTTTGCTTATTTGATCTAACGGCTGAATTACGCAGATAAAAACCAAGTATCCTTTGAGTTTACTTTTCAAGAGCAGATATTGTAGCCTTAATGACTTGGTTTCTTGTTTCGTCTATTTTTCTTGTTTTTATGCATTGCCCTATCTGTTAGACTTTAAAGTTGCTTCGACAAAGCGTTAAAATTTCACTTCGCATAACTTCGACTCTCATGCAAATTAGACAATGTGTACTGCTAATGCACTTAGCGACTCGGTTCTAGATGCCCTAATGTTGGACATACTTTCGTGTTTTTTGTACATTGTTCCACCTGTCACTGTTTGTCTCCAGGTAAACGAATGGCATCTTCACCAGTCAATGAAGAGGCAATAAAGTCCTTCTACATGCAAAAACGGGAGCTTTTGCTACTTTTACTGGTAACTGGCCTCTTTATTGCTATTTGTACGCGAGAACTAGCTGTGTGTTTGTAAAGAAATTGGTTATGGTTTCCACTGGCTCCAAATATCACAAAAGTGTCAAACATTACCAGTGACTGGAAACTGAGATCCTTAGTTGTTTGTTGGGCGTGAGGATTATACTCCAATGGTACTGACATCCGGTTCTCGTTTCTGTCATGGTAGGGTAATTTTAAATTGCTGTGTAATATCCATTCCGTGTAGTTTTATGCAAACCTATGTGATTTCATAGGCCACGGAGATAGAACGTCTGGTGGTGTGGTACAATCCGCAGGGCAGTGCAGAACTCACTCTACCGGGTGAGTCGGATGTGGAGGTCTGGCTGCGGAAGGAGCTACTGCGCGAGAAGAATCCCGGCAACTGGGCCCAACTGGCCTGGGAATTCTGTCCGGCTGCTGCCATTTTCCTCCAGCGTCGGTTCGTTTATCCCACTCACATGCCGCGCTTAAGTGTAATGTTGCTGCATAGGGACAAAACAAACTCCGATCGTTACCTTCCTATCTCCCATCTTGTGTCAACGTGGCATATCTTAATTTACTAGCGCCTCGTGCAATGGTGCGATGCTGAGTTTGTTTTACTTTTTACCTTTATAAGTTGTAACCAATGGCAATATTCCGTCATCCGCTATTAAATTTTAGTTAGCTAAACCCTAACTTGTCCTTAAACCAAGTGGAAGATATGTATGGAGTCGGGTATTTCACCATGCACTCACGGAGTATTAACATTCACAATTCAGTTTATCTGTTAAATTATTCGTCATGCAACATCATTCACGATGTTTGGTCTGCGTGTTACTTTCCAGAGCTTAAGGATAGTGATCACGATTCTTCTTGCCAGGTTGCGTGGTTCAGATCAGGTCCGAGAGGAAGTGAGTCGTCTAGTTCGCCAATCGCCCACTCTGGTTTCTCACGTTCCCGCGGCTCTCCAGTACTTAGCCAATCCCTCTAACATCGAGGCCGATATTCCTGAGGTTTTTTTTCCTCTTTATGGTTTCGGTTTTATCAGATTTCTATTTCTTTTTCCTATAAGTTTATTCTTCGTCACCAAATCCTATTACTTTATGTTCGGGTCCATCAGCTTTGTAACATTGCGTTGCTTATGGATTTCCAATTTTTTGCATCTGCATGTAATTGTTCAAATACTTAGAAAACTAATTCCATTCCCGTATTTTTTTTCCTTGGATCTAGCTTTCACATATCCTTTCATGGACCTCAGTGGCTCCAGTAACAGCCATATCCTACTTTTCACGCATGTATCCTCAGCACCCTCTCACACACCAGTACGCTGTCAGGGTTCTTGCCTCTTACCCGCCCGAGACCCTGCTCTTCTACGTGCCCCAGTTGGTCCAAGGCACTCGATACGACAAGGTACACTTGTGTATTAATCCGTAGATCGACAAACCGTATGGGGATCCACCCTTTAGTGAAATAGCCACTCAGATCATTTACAATTTTGATTTTGGCTTGCCATTATTATTAATATTGGTTTTCCTGTATAGCTGGGCTACATGTCCGAATTCATTTTGAGCTCTGCACATCGTTCACCGCTGCTTGCACACCAATTACTATGGAACATGAAAACTAACATCTATCGGGATGAGGAGGGTCATGATAAGGATCTCGATATTGGTTCGCACTTGGAGTGGATGTCCGAAGAAATAACCAAGCGTTTCTCGGGACCTGCACTTGAGTTCTTCAAACGCGAGTTCACGTTCTTTGATCAGATAACTGGTGTATCTGGTGAAATCCGGTAGGCTTTACTACGAATTCTATTACATTGGGTTAGTGTTGCACGTTGTTTGTGTTGATCATTTCGCTCCTAGACCGTATCCAAAAGGCTCAGAGCGCAAGAAGGCCTGCTTGGAGGCCTTGGAAAAGATAAAGCTTCAGCCAGGCTGCTACCTGCCCTCAAATCCGGACGCGATTGTTCTCGAAATCGATTACAATTCGGGTACACCGATGCAATCTGCTGCCAAGGCGCCTTATCTGGCCAAGTTTAAGGTGCGGATTTTCCAATTTCTCTAGTTTTGAAATACATGCAATTAGATGATGACAACGCGAATGCTTTTGCAAAACCTAAAAAGGCCTCCCTTATCTTCCAAATCCATCAAATACTATTGAAAAAATCACCGACCGAAGATTCCTGTTGCCAAGGTTTTAGACCTGCTAGCTAAAGTATGCTAAAATTCTTAATGGATTTTTACGTGAAGGTTTTGTGATTTGGAAATAAAAACAAAACTTTTTAATACCTCATTCCTTGTAAAACTTTGTTACCGATAGCAAACTCATGGTGCTATTGGCTGATCTTTTCCACTTAATATATATTTGCATTCCGTGCCAATTTACAGGTTTCCAGATGCGGCATTACTCAGTTGGAGAAGACGGCTATTCAGGCGGCGTCAGAGGCGGCCTCTGTCGCCGCAGTGTCAGCGTCCAAAGGCAGTCAAAGACCTACCACGGAGGCTCCTGCGCCTTCGCGAAAGGATTCCCATATTTTCTCTCTTAGGAGTCCCTTGTAAGTTCTGCCGCTGGAGTTGCGGTGTTACTGGCCTCTACTTTCCGCCACCTGTTACTGAATTCGCGTTTATTCACTTCTTAATTTCGAGGGGATTTATCAATCTTACACACAGCCTTACTATTTAGAACTGTCACGCTAGCTGCTTAACCTCAATAGCATTTAGACCTGAATTTAGGTTCGTGCAGTTTAGCACTCAAGGAGTGTTGTTCACTGTTTGATAGTGCAGTGTAGCTGAATTTATTCGATTCATTCTAATTCTCTAGTGCTCGGACTCGCCGACAAACAAGCACAACGAATCAGCCAAACATTGCTAAAGGAGGTGAAAATACGTCCAAGAGCGAAATAGTAAATCTACACCAGCAACCTTCATCCACTTACTGGCAAGCCTGTATTTTCAAAGTGGGAGATGACGTACGGCAGGTAGATCTTATTTATGTGTTTCACTTTTGTGAGCAATTAATGCTGATCGGTGCTGTTTTTCAACAAATTTATTTCGCAAGGATATTCTAGCGCTGCAGGTCATCCGAATATTCCAAAACGTTTTCAACCAGTACGAGTTGGAATTATTCCTCTACCCTTATCGCGTGGTCGCTACAGGTCCGGGTGTATGTTATTGTAATTTTTATCTTATTTTCTTTAAACAATTCACCGGTTAACTACTACCTTTCGCAGTCTGGCGTTATTGAATGTGTTCCCGATAGTAAGTCACGTGACCAGATTGGCCGTCAGACAGACAGTGGCATGTACGACTATTTTCAGAGTATTTTCGGCGATGAGACTACACCAGCATTCCAACGAGTGAGTTATATTTAAAACAGCATCCAGCTTTTATGAAATTTTTGAATACTTTTTACTCTCTGCAATCTTCAATCCCACTGATTAGTTTGATTCTGTCGAAATCTCTGTTTTCGTATGGGTATGTAAAAGCCGCGGGTCGTATACGATTTATTAACACTTTTTTTCTGTTTCACAGGCACGGAGGAACTTTGTTGTTAGTATGGCAGCATATAGTGTAGTGTGCTACTTGTTGCAAATAAAAGATCGTCACAATGGCAATATTATGTTGGATAAACAAGGCCATATAATTCATATCGGTACGTTTAACGAATTTTGACGTTTCAACTCCTTGGGTCAGTTTAACATCCCTCCATTATCAATTTTCATCATATAGGATATTAAAGGTGAACAGCATGCACAAAGGACTGATTTTTGGTTTTCAGATTTCGGCTTCATGTTCGAGAGCAGCCCGGGCGGGAACCTGGGATGGGAGCCAGATATTAAGTTGACTAAAGAGATGTTGATGATAATGGGCGGAACGACTGATAGTCCGGCTTTCCAGTGGTTCGAGCAGCTCTCGGTGCGCGCCTTCCTAGCACTGCGGCCCTACCGCGAAGCGATAGTGGCGCTGGTCTCAGCCATGCTGGATTCGGGACTGCCATGCTTTCGAGGGCAGACGATTAAACTGCTGCGCCAGCGCTTCATGCCCAGCCTCTCTGACCGCGACGCTGGCAATGCCTACATCCGCCTCGTGCGCGCCTGCGTCGACCACTGGCGCGCCAAGTCTTATGACATGCTGCAGTACTACCAGAATCAGATTCCCTGCTAGATAGGCAGAGGCGTTCTCCCTCCCTCCTCCCATCGACCTTTGTTGTGTTGTGTATAGTGTTAACTACACTGATGACTCATTCTCTCCACCTCGATGTAATTTTGTGATAACTTTTCCTTACTAGCGATTAAAAATGCACATATTTTTACCTGGCAGATCTCTTTGTTTTCGTTTTATTCTCGGAACCAAAAGGACGTGCTCTAACTTTGATTGCCTTGCTCTAATCACCCGATCATACCGGTGACTACGTTTTTTATTTTGGCGACAGAATTCTGGACAGCTTTTCATAATGCTATGAAAGTCCTACGCTTATGTCCACGTATTCCTTACCGTACCGAAGAGGTCATGTAAAGCGCATATATTTTGAATCGAGCTTAATTGGATCAGATGCTTGCAGTCCTAGTTTTTTTTTGTCAAAAGATACCATTAATCTAGGAGTGGTTAATATATACGCCTATGTTTCAGTAAATTTTCGTTAAGACAGATTTCTTCCCACGCCATAACATGTTTGTAGATTAGAGCAATAATGGAATGAGACCTCATTCGATGGGATGTGCTAGGTTGGCATAATTTAGCTCAACTGAAGACAGAAAGATTGTGATCGTGATCGTACAGGGTAACTAGATGGTTCCCAGCACTTTAGAATTGGGGAATTCGAGCGTCAGCGTCCTGAGTGAGTACGACGCCGCATGCGCAAATGACGAAACAAGGTCCTAGTATGTACTGTTTGATTATACCTGAATGCCGCTTTAAAAATAAAAATAACAATGGAATGAAATCTAAATAACATTAACCTTGTTTTTTAGGCCATGCTGAGAATAACCTCTCAAGACTGCCTTAATGGAGTAGATAGAGAAAAGGAGACCCTCTATACGTTCAAAGGAGTCGTCGAATATTGGCATTATGGAGGCCAGAAGATCGATGACAGAGTAAGATTTGCCCTGCTTACTGCTCTCGATTGCAACTGGTCAACAATACTGCGAATTTTGCGGCACTAAAGTACAACTGTCACCAAGACATCAAATAGTAGTACGGCAAACTGCCTACTTCGATGAAGCTATGGCTAAAGGTCTATCGAAGACATTAACTGACTCGTGCCCAAATTCTGTTGTTAAAGTAACGATTTTATCGTAGGGTTGGGGATGCGGCTATCGCACCTTACAAACAATTATCTCCTGGTTCAAAATGAACCTCTCCCTTCAGTCCACTTTCCCTGACATAGATGATATCCAATTGGCCCTAATTGATGCAGGCGACAAACCTCGCTCCTTTTACAAATCTCATGATTGGATAGGTTCGGTCGAAGCAGGAATCGTTGTACAACATCTGACGAATGTAGGCCCGCCACCATTCATAACCATCCGGTATAGACCGACTACAGAATCGTTCAAGTACCAAACGGTAGATTCGGAAAGGAACACTTGGCGAAGATACGCGACCACTTCCAACGCGCCGGAGCTCCAATAATGATGGGTGGGCTATCCTTCAACTGCAATAATTCCATAGGTGGAATAAAAGACTGCTCCTCCAAATGTATTCTCGCAATGAAGAAAAATGAGAACCCTGATTCCGCATCCCTTCTGATTCTGGCAAGTCTTCCATCTCATCATTTTCGACAAAATCCATAAATCAATCCTATTTTAGTACTACACTAAGAACTGGATTTTTAAAACACTATTAATAGCAACTGCGATATCGCATCCAAATTTGCCTTTCAGGATCCGCATTACTACACCACTGACGAAGAACCCGACCTGCCGTATCTTTGGAGGGAAGGGTGGCTGAAGTGGTGCAATACAGAAGACTTAAGTGAAACGGATTTTTACAATATGTGCATGCCGATGGCAGCATACAAGTAGCATTGGCTACGGTAGGTCCTTACAAAATTTGTCATACATTTCCCGCAGAATGATATAAGAGTCTCGGTAGCGCTCTTCGTTTTCTCTGCAGGCCGCTTTCCACCTGAAAAAAGGTTTTGTAACTGAACTAGTATACTAGTTGTTTCCTATATAAAAGAACCAAAACAATAATCAGCCTTAATTCTGCTGATTCAAAGTGTGATATTAATGACATCAGAAAGGCATTTTACTTACTTTCGACGAATTTCACGCCAGCGTGTTATGTGCTGTTCTAGTAAGCCTTCTGGAGACATCTCCTTCGGAGGATTCTAAAACATCATTACCGAGGTTCGTGAGCAAAAGTGGTAATAAATGAACTACTCAGAGATATCGGAGGGTCTGAAAACTAGCGACAGAAGTGTACGCATCCGCTAACCCAGTAAATCCCACGAACTAAAGTCCAGCTGAACTAAATTAAGTTAGGACTTTTTCTAACCGAGAGCTAAAGCTTTCGACGGTACGGTATTAAAACACCGCAGTAGCATTGTTCACAAGAGTTAAGCCTAGATAAATGTCATCAAATGCGAAGATCGTGACATCATAAATGAGCAAAATCAAAGCGTCTTGATTCGACCGATGTAACGGTTAGACGTTGGCAGGAGGAGTCGGAAGGCGGACAGGCCGATAGCAGCGTGCATTACGTCCGAGGCAAGAAGAGTATGGACATGTACCTCAACGTTTATTACAAAAGGCTGGCCAGACGAGGGCAGAGGCTGTGGAACACGCACTTGACTATCGGTGAGGCCATCATTCGGCTTTGGCAGGGCATAATGACAGTCTGGTAGCTGGTCAGCGGCCTAAATTTAAGAGGATTTAGGATGATGATTAAAACTAGGGTTAAATATGCATGTGGATTACTTCTCGATCGTCGTCAGCATTCGGAATGTCATTCCACGACGACTTATCGGTTTGACTAAGATTGCGAATCCAAGCCCGAGCCATAGGGTAAAGTGGGGCGTTTTCTGGGAATTGTCCAAAGTCAACGCTCCTCTCAAAGACTTTGATGACAAATGATTCTAGAAGAATAACAAAACTTTAAGTAATTTACCCTTTGGTGCGTCATCTTCATCCGATGCTATTCCCCGTTTCCTGCGTTTCACTTCGCCGCCCCCAACCTTGTATAAGGGTGATCTGTATTTCTCTTTTTCCAAAACTTCTTTCCGATTCATTACCTCATCTTTATACTTTAAGCTTTCCTTTCTAAAGTATTGAATAACGGGACCATAAAAACATACACTTTTTCTGGATTTTCCTTGTAAGCAACAAGAATCTGGTCCAAATTCTCCCTTGCTAGAGAAACATCAGCCTCTAAGCAAAAAATACCCCTTTTTCCTCACATACCATCTGGCTCAGGCCACCAAGATCTATCATTCCATCCACCGGACATCATTAAAATGGACTGCGCGAAATTGAAGTCAGAGAGATAAAGCACGCAATAGGCAAGCCAAGTTCAGTACTGGCAAAGTTATGATCATTCTAGACAGGAAGGATTGCGCGCTGAAAAAAAATTAATTTATCATTGCAGTATTTGTTTCTAGGCATGAAGAATAGTAATACTAATTAGCACATACAAAATATAATGCAGTCATTCGCCGATGAATACTGTTTATTGCTTAATTTTTAAGCAACGAAAATTTTGTACTCCGACTATCACAAAAGTTGGCCTTAAAAAAGGCACAAAAAGTGCATATAATTGGAGCGCGTGACAAGTAATTGATCATTACTAATCTGTGAGCAGGTTAAAACTAAAAGCTAGAAGTAATAGCTACCAGTACATCAATTTTACCGAAAGCTCATGTTTTTTACGCAGCTGATTTTGATGGATAAAGTTTTATATTACCAAGTAGTGACGGGCATTGTGTTATAGTCCTTCTGAAATCAGAAAATAGAAGACGATCTTCTGTACGACGCATGAAAATTGATTGAGCGGTTAATCTAAAAACTCCCGAAAAACTTTTTTTGTAATAATGCCATTGTTATTTCAATCACTTGTTCATGACAGCTGACTTTGAGAAATATTAATATACTAGCATAAACGAATTACTGCTTGCAAAAATCTAAAACAATGCAACAAAATGATCTGAGAATAAAAAATAATAGCAATGTCAAATACGTTATCAGACTACTTATTGGTTGTGAATATAGAGGTCTGGTTATTCGCTCAAATTTACTTTGGATCACAGCAGTAATTCTTTCTCACCTGCCAGTAGGCCCTCGCCTCCCCTTTGAATTATCAATATATTTTCTATTACAATATTGTGACACCTTTTAAGTTTTATAAGAATTCGAAAAGCTGCATCGGTGAATCATCAAGAGAAGTATTACTAGGCAATACATTAAATATTTGTCTCTCGATTTTGGCGAGGAGCCACTTTTGACCTGGCCATCATACCACGCTGCTTGAGCTGGCGTCCCTGCCATGCTGGCAGCCCTAGTACCTTTCGAATGCCAAATGCATACATTCTACCCAAAGTATTTTGCCTTCTTTCACCTTTGTGGAAGCTTCGGGGTGATACGACTCAAATGCAATTCAGAACCCTGGGGTGGGGAATGGTGGAATCACCACCATTGTTGACAGAGGCGCCGCATGGTGGTGGCGAATTCGCTACTGAAACCCCCGCAGTTTATTGCAAGTGGGGATTTGTTTAAAGTTTAGAGCTTAAAGCTTAGTCTAAGTAATTTCAGAATATGTCAGGCGACAGCCTAGGCGAAAATTATTACCAGGTATGGCGGATTATAACTGATTAAGCATGCCTCTGAAGGTTGTAAAAAATGCAATCCACAAAATGGGTTTTTTAGTTTTAATCTTTTGTAGCAAACCGTATAATGTAAATATGCACCTGAACGAACAGCAACTGCGCTTTTTCAAGAACGTACTTTGTCGTAATTTTGAGCTATGAAAACAATTTAAGTTGTAATTTTTGCTTGTTTTAACTAACCACTTCTGCTTTTGCACTCTGGTTGTGTGATTGCGGTCTGGCAATGGCTTCTGTGTACAAGGTTGTTTTCATCAGGCATGGAGAGAGTGTTTACAATCAGGAGAACAGATTTTGTGGGTGGCATGATGCTGACCTGTCTCCTAAGGGTGAGCAGGAGGCGCAAAATGCAGGGAAAATGATTAAGGAGAGGGGTCTTTCTTTTGATGTTGCGTTTACCAGTGTCCTAAAACGTGCCATAAAAACTCTCAATCATGTGCTTGAAGTGAATGACTTGCACTGGATTCCAGTCTATAAGTAAGAGTGGCTCATTAAAGGCTTGTGAATGACTCGCTTGCATAACCACTTTGCTATGCCTTTGTATCTCAGTTCCCATTTTGGTCACTAGCGTTAATCAGTTGCTTTGCTGGAACTTTTAACATATAATATATATATATATATGTATGGAATTTGTACTGAGTGCACACGAATTTTCGCATCAGTAATGTGTAGAAGTTTATTTGTTTGCTGAGCATGGTAAAACATTCCTTCAGGTCATGGCGTTTGAATGAGCGGATGTACGGTGGCTTGCAGGGATTGAACAAATCCGAAACAGCTGCAAAGCATGGTGAAGATCAAGTTAAAGTCTGGCGTCGTGCTTATGACATCTCGCCTCCTCCTCTGGAGGTTTCGGATAAACGCTGGCCAGGTCTCGAGGAGAAGTACAAGGTGGGTTTTTTTGGATCTGTTCTTCTTATTAAAAATAAGGTCTTGAAACCAAAACTCGCTAATTAGGTATAGTCGTGTTTGTGACTACTAAGGTTTGTATTTCCATCGGATTTAATTTTAATTCTATTCACAGCTGCTTGATATTGAGTGTATTCCGGTTACGGAATGTCTAAAAGATACCGTCGAACGTGCTCTTCCTTTCTGGTTTGATTCAATTGTTCCTGCCATTAAGGTATGTTTTTCAGTGCTTGATGTCTCTTCGAAATTGACACCTTTACTTAATAAGTGCATGAAATCGACGCAGTCATTGGATAGTATCGTAACATGGGCTTTTATCTAGTTGTTTGGTTGGGAATTATTGCTGCGTATTCTCACTTGATTGTGCTACTTGTTTTTGCTCTGAGTTGTAAGTCGAACTTCATGTTCGCGGTTATTATGCTTGGTGCGATATATTCCTTCATAGCAAGGCAAACGGGTTTTGATCACTGCTCACGGAAATAGTCTTCGCGCCATTGTTAAGTTTTTGGACAATGTTTCCGATAAGGACATTGTGGAACTCAACATACCCACCGGTAAGCTACCCGTCTCCTTTTGGAAGTAGATTTTAAATTGGTATTATGCGGTTCATCTTAAAACGATAGGGCTAAGTATGCAACTATAATTTTGCTCGGATAGTCGTGTTGACACATTTTCAGTACATGAGGTGCCATTGAAACGTTTGGAAGGAGAGCGGTTCTATGAGCTACATTCTTTTTTCTTGGTGCACAACCTCAGCACATTTCCTTCAGAACTTAGTAGCAAAGTAGCCAATTTGTTCTAATTGCAGGGATTCCACTCGTTTATGAATTGGATAAGAACCTTCGCCCTGTGAAACACTATTACCTGGCTGATGATGCTACTGTTGCGGCCGCCATCAGCAGCGTGGCAAATCAGGGCAAGGCCAAGTAGGCATTGAATGCTGAGTCTAGTGAAAGGGGTCGCCGCCATGCCATTGGTATAACTCTACCAGAAACCCAGTTAGTTTCGATCCCAATGTTTTCTTTCATAACAACTTTGACTCTTAATAAATGTAGAACCACTTTCTTTACTGTATTGTTAATCTTGCCATTCCTTTGATGCTTATTGGATCTTCGGTCAGTGACAGCAATTCGCAAGGTAATGGTGGACAGATTTTCCTACGACTGGACTTGGTGGAGCGCCTTTTTACTCGAACTTTATTTCATCCGATAAATTAATCAAATATCGATTTGCTTGGTGGTAGTCGAAGAAGCTATAAGACTACGATGGCTTGAATGAGGCCAAAAACAGCAGAGTATTGATTACTCGATCTTTCATTGTCCGTATCAAACAGAGAATACCGTTATAAAAGGTCTACTTGGCATCCAATTGCGTTCATACCAGTGGGCTATTGGGGGTTAGTGGTAGAGACTACGTGACCACTTTATCGATGGCACGCTTGGCAGTGTGCGTGTGCATTGAGGTTGTTTAAGGACGACGTGCGATGACATGGCGCCCCGGATGTAAACACACAGAGGAAGAATGGCGCTCAACCTGGTTGCGTAGCAGAGTTGCTCCTTAGCATTAAGCGGCAGTGTACCCAAAACCTCAAATTAGTGTTAAGGCTTGCTTCAAACCATATCTACCAAATAATAAACCTAAAAAAATCAAGGGAAACACTGACTGATTTACTGGTTATCAGCATATACTACTCCCAAACTTGGGAATACGGGGAGTTTGAGGCCACAGAGTTTGACAATCACTAAGGTTGATAATGAAAACTAGGTGAATTAAAACACAAGAGGGGCAATTTTAGACAACTGCATTTTTTTTAAACGCATCAACTTATCCAGACTTATTTTGTTAAATAGAATTGCTGCGTTAATGACACGCTGTTGCAATGGGACGTTTATGCGCCTCCTACGATTTCATCCTCTGTGCGAACGCAGTATACGCCCGCGTCCGAGTTAAGGGTGAAACCACCGACCACAGGGATTATATAATGAATGAAACAGACTAGTCCTATGAAGTGCGGTACTGTACTTGTGATCAGGACGTCAAATATTCGACTTCGTACATAGGATACAAGGCAAGAAGTAGATATATCGGCCTTCACATTCACAGTGATGCCAAGATATCACAATATCCTTGTGAAGTGCATGGCGCTCACATTATAAGGTAACAAAGTATACTACTTGGCAAATCCATGTCGAGCAGAAAATTTACTGGGGCGACCTTAGTAACAGTAACACTGTGCACACACCAACCTAAAAAATGCACCGAAACTACCACGTGGGGACCTTTTAATTTTTCAAACCCGATAGAGGAACAAAACCTGTTTTTATTCATAGCATGTATTGCAGCTGATCAAGCCTTTACCGTATCTAACAAGTCCTGGTACGACTGAAGAGAACTCCACTCCCATTTCCCATTCTCGGTTAGATATCCATGGAAAATTCCGGCCATTATTTAAACCTTGCACAAACCGCAGCATCTGCAGAAACAAATCGCTACTCTGTCCGTCACAAAAGCATATTTACGTAATTAAATTGAATGCAAATATTTGTAATGGATAAGAATATATTATGAAGAAACTCACACAAATACTATAAAGCGGAAAAAATCGCCAATTGTTTTAGAGGTATGTTTAATGCCACAAACTTATTAATGCTACATAACGCTATCCGAAAATGCAGCCCCAGAAATGTCAGCAACGAGCCAAAACCTCAACCAGCTCTTCGCCGAATCCTCACTTTGCATCTGGAAGGAAGAAATTACGCGTTTTAAAATAGCGTACGTGACCCCTCATGGACACTATATGGGAACCAATCTACTGAACTCAATTAAGTAACGTGAATCCTTACAGGGTATGATAAATGCAGAAGCTCAGCCAGCCGATGGGCCGACAGATTTGTCAGGTAGGCACAATGTAGGAGGAAATCATTAGATAAGCGTACGATAGTAGGTGTCAACTTTGGTTCTCCGAAAGCAGAGGCAATGGACTGGGATACATTCATTATTTCTTCCAAATCTCCTTGGTAGACTTGGCTAATGGGTAGATGCGTAGACTCGTGGAGTTCTAAGTGGGCCATTCGAAGTGTATTGTAGAGGGGTAAAGACTCATAGAATGGAGTAAGACGAGATACAAACGATGCTTACCAAAAAACGAAAGCTGAGGTTTGCAGAACGGGAACTACCACAACTAACTCGTACCAAAAACTCAAATCCTGTAGCGAAATAATCCAGAATGCTTTCAACTAGTCCCGTAGCAGCAAACCAATGTGAGATCCGCGTCCATTCTACGAACACTGCGCGTACAAATCCATTGGGCAGGTCTGTATTTCGCAAAATTCGTAGATTTTCCTCCAAGGCGACTTTAATCTTGGGAAGATGAATCCGTTTGCATACTTCACGAGGAGTTAATTGAAAAGCAAACACTGTCAGTTTCGGTGACAGAAGATTTAAGAGTCGATGAAAATTAGTATCCGTCTAAAACACTTGTGTCAACAGTGAAGGACCATGCCAATATTTTGGAGGCGAGAAGCTGGAGAACGGGGAACTCAATGTTCCCATCTGAAGAAATATTGCCATTGACGATGGAGAATCCCACAATAATGCTGGGAGCAAGGGATGACTTTGCCTCTAAGTTCTATGGCATGCTACAAAGAAGTGCATGAAAAGCAAACCTCAAGCAATTTGCCCAGACTCTCCAATATGGCTTCAGGGCTTTGAGCCAAAGAAAGTGATTTTAAAGCATCAACTAGTATTTGTGTGAATCGAGATAAGCGTTTTTTTAGATCTAAAAATAAAAGTGACTTTGATGAAAGACTGACGATTTGGAAGATCTGACCACAAGGAACCAAGTAAGACGAAATTCTCAATGATCCATCTGTTCGTCTGCGGAGCAGTTAAGCAGGATCGAAACAAACCTTATCAGACCACGTGTGTAAAAGTTCCATTTCAGTTGGTGCAAAGAAATACAAGGAAGAAAAGTCCATTTCTGGAATGCTGACAGATTTCAGAAAGGATATATTATGCTGAAATTAAAGGATTCTTGCTATAGCACACAAGTTTGTATCAAAAAGATGCGAAAAACGACATTACCAGAGGATGGGTAAGATGAAGTTTGAAGATTCGGAATCTTAAATATGCAATCAACAAAATTTTGCAGGAATGCAGATGTAATCCGCTACTAAATAAAACATTTCAAATTCGCTTCCCTGGGTCTTGAGACCTGGTTTTACAACTTTTCTCAAAGTTATGAACAAATCTGCCGGCCAGCAACAACCACAATGGATCAGCATTTTTGATAAATGCTTAGAATACCACAACTCAACCAGGTACCCCTGGTCAGAGCCAGTAAAACATCCTAACTAGTGAGGTACAAAACTCAAATCGGATTCTAAGCAAATCTTAGATGCAAAGCAAACGTTTCAACCACGAAATATGAATTCTAACTTCCCCAAAGCAAAGAAACGTAGACATTTATTCCAATTATTTTAACATGATCTGGCAAAACCTTAATATGCGGCATTGGAGCATTTAGAGTTAAATAAGCAGTTCCTGGAGTACTCAAATTTAGTTGTGAAACACAAAAAACACATTTGTTCTACGAGCTGCAAATTAGTCGACTCCTTTCAGACTGTTTCAAGCAGGGTAATTCTTAAAGTAAAGTGGAAATGCGCCGTAATGTTACCGATATTTGTTGCCAAAGTAAAAAAATCAATATGAATAGGAGAACGTATTTTAAGCGGGCATTAAATGGGGCAAAAATATGCAAGAAAGATAAGCCGGTTTGTATTACGCAGTTATTATTAAAGTGACGGAAACGATAGATTCAAGCACTACATACAGAAATCCTGGCAGAAAACAAGTGTAGAGATGACCTAAAGAACAATGAAGCCTACAACAATTCCATACCTGCAACATTTGTTAAGTAGAAGGTACCAACAAGCCATTCAAGTCAAACGGCGGAAAAGAGAACAGCCTAGTAAATAAGCGGAGTTAGTCTGCACGAGTTTGTGGTTACTACTGTGTAAACAGGGCCTAGCCAGTAAGGGTACAAATCATAGCAACTTCGCCGTGTATAAAATCTGCGAAGTTTATTGCAGCCGAAACAAATCGAAGGATTTGTGATAAAGACTCATGCAAATATTGTCAGAGAGTATGTAAAATGTCCTTTTGATTATTGATTGATAAGACAGCCGCATTTGATCAAGGAGAAAACCTTGAGAATTACAGTCCAATTTAGTTCACTACCGAAAATCAGGCCCACTACAGTGACCAGAAACACCTTAGGATAATCAAACACCTAATAATAAGAAAAAATGCTGCTAAGGTGGGCAGGCCTCAGTACCACACAGTAACAGATTCAACCAGGCCCCCAATTGTAGTTTTCAGACATGCACTCTAAAACAAACCCCATGAAAATTGACACTTAATAGAAGATTCCTTTAAGAAATACCGGAAACGAACACCAGGACACAGCAACACTGCCACCGCAAGACAAGCAACTGTTCAGAGGCCCGCCTGTGTTGAGGGTAAGTAAAACAACTCTCCAGTAAGAAAATTTAGTGTAATTAATTGACTAACATAACCTTAAGTCTGTGCACTTAAAGCCAACTTTTATTATTGTTTAATAATTTAACACTATAAATTCGTGATTTGAAGCCGATGTTTGCTAGTAGTTGGAGTTAGAAACTAGCAGGACTTTGAAACCCATATACCTTGGATGCAAAGTTTGCTCCCTAATTTTCAGTTTTACTGCGACTTGATGCAACTCTCTAAGGCTTTTTGTAGTTACAAAAATCCATAGTAATATTAAAAGCATTGTATTACTGACGTGCAGGCAGGCTTGGAGCCTATTGGCATTAATCGAAGGCCATATCGATGAGCGAAAGCACAATCCGCGGAGACTTACATGTCCGCGTCTTTCAACGCAAAGTCAAAAGAACTATAAAACCACCACATTTTTTGACTACATTTTGACTATTTTACCAGTGACAGCACGCTTCTATAAGTTTATTGAGAAAACTCTTCTTGAAGCATCATGTGTATGTTTATGTAGCGCCCTGTACTTCCATGAAGACGAAAGAAGATAAAATACTTGGACGAAATATGTGGATTCGACGTACAGAGGGGCCTGTGGCTACCGGCATGACCCAGAGGACAGCCTACCCAGCGAAGGTGCAATAGGCAAGACACAAAAGCGGCCCTTTACCAAAAGCGAGAGTTAAACAACCAACGCATTACATATATATATCGCCTTAAAGTAACTATTTTCGATGAGGCAATCAGGAAAGCTAAGGCAAATTAGTACCTTAAGAACGAGCGGTATAGAGGGTTCCAGTGAATTCCATAAAACCACACAAATCTTGTTTGCCCATATAATGATTAGTTTTTGAGAATACTATTAAAATTATTGTGAAAGGTTGCCTAAGTACATTAATTTGGTGTTGGGAGGGGTGTTTAAGGCGCCTGTCACATCAACTTAGCACTGGATGACCCGAGCGATTGACCGATTAGGTGACACGACATCATTTGAAAACACGCAAGATAATATTTTCTAGTGTAGGCATACTTTAGCAAGAAAGTTTGGACGGATTTTACCGACTTGAGCATTCGTTTATGCTGCTGCATGCAAAGGGTACGGTTGTATGAAATGATCACAACATGACAAGAATTTTAGTTTTGCATAACTTATGTTAGTGAGGAATGATAAAATAAGTGGGGGGAAAACTAAAGTAAAACAATTTATTGAATATGACTGGGCATAGTTAGAATTCCGAAGTGAGATCCGGAGCATATACTTCAGAAAATTGGGGGTATTGGTCGTTCTCATAGAGTAATGTTAGAGGTTCTAGCCCACTTAAATTGTGAATTTAAATACCGTGTGTGCACATCTGGCACCATGATTTATGACCGAACCTTTGCAAGCGAAGTTGTGATATGCTTCTATAAACAGCACTGAGGGGATCACAGCGCGAAGCGAAAAGGCCATCAACGGGCACACGCGCAAGCACACTGCGCAAAAACATCAACCAGCCCCCAAGGAAAGTCGATATTTGGCCTTGCACGCACGCATGGACGCACGCAGCATGCACCTGTCTGTCCACGATCCCACACGAGCCTAGAGGCAATTCCAGCAGTACTGGCGTCCATTCTCACTCTCAGCGATGCTAGCCGCCAAGTCGATGGTTGGCCTCTTCCTCCTCGTCCTCTTCGCTCTGAGTAGTCGTGAGTCTAACGCAGAGGAGGCTGGTGAAACACCGCTGGATGTCTGCGCGTCCTGCGATGAGTCAAAGTGTCCCCCCGTGACCATGTGTCCCGTGGGAGAGGTAAAAGACTATTGTGGCTGTTGCTCGGTCTGCGGCTTAGAGCAGGGACATCGATGCAATACGAGACAGGAATTACATGACATGCTCTCGGGCAGACGACGTCACGGCTACTACGGCGCCTGCGGCAAGAACCTTGAATGTCAGCCTCGCACTGACGTTGATGAGCAGTCACTGGGTGAGGAGAACATTTGCGTGTGCACCAAGCCCGGTCGTTTCTGCGCCAGCAACGGAGAAACCTACTCGGCTTGTGAGTTGGAGGCCGTGCAGGCCAAGTCGTTTGGTGAGGTATTCCTCATCTCCTATGACGATTGTAAATCAGGTAAGCAAACAGAAAAACAATGTACTGAAAGGCACATAAGTGTAGAAAATTATTTAGTAATATTTAAAAAGCGTTAGAGGCAACATACTAAAAAAAAATTGACGGTTATATGAATGATATTAGAAATTCCATAAGATAGCATTTTACTGTTGATTACTATTCTATAGCAAGCTGGTAGTGACGTTTTTGATAAAAATAGGCTATTGACGACATTTAATTAACCACGTAAAGCCCGATTGCATGTTATTGTCATTAAAAATGTTGACATACAGTCACTCGCTTTTGATCAATGAAACGTAGACGACTAGTCTAAGCTAATGCAACCGCATTACCTAATGCCCAGTGCCAATTTACAAAGGACCCAACTGTGTGACCTTGGGGCTCGCATGCGGTCTCAAGTCAATGAAACTTTACAGACCAGTTTTCGACTATACATGAACAAAAAAGTACACACCACCACACAACAGTAATGATGAATATGGAATTTTAAAGTGCACTCCCCACAAGGTCATAAATCAACTGGTCGGCTCCCTTAACATTTAATGCAATTTTTTTGTTTATGTTGGTTTATTTAAAGTACTAACCTGGGCAGGCACTCCACTGTTGCCTTAATGTATGTGCGATATTTGTCACATTTTTCACCAATTAATAACTAAGTTCGAGTAAGCTATTGATAGACGTGCCCTGAAGTGCTACAAAGTGCCTCATTTTTTAACTGCGGATGTGGCCAATAAAGACTAGATCTAAATTGGGAACGCAATTATTTATTAACCCGATGGCAGCTTCGGCAACTTGAAAGCGTTAGCAGTCTTATTCATAGTTAACTCTCACATTGATATGTTTAGGTAATAGTAGGTTGATAATTCCTCCCCAGGACTGAACGAATAAGTGGAGGGACCATATGAACTGAATTAAAGGAACTGAAATCCCACAACGAAATAGGTGCTGTCTATTTCTAAGTATTCACTAACATTTATCGCAGAGCCGAAGATTGTAGCCGCATCGGAGTCGCAGCGAGTTCCCGAAGGAAACAGGACAACCTTCTGGTGCGAAATCAAGGGTTATCCCCTTCCAACAGTCACCTGGTATTACTTTGCTCCCGGTGGATCATATGAGGCCATTCTACTCCCGGGTAAGCCCACTTTTTTGTTCTTTTAACATCAATTGGTCACCTACTGAAACGACAAGTTAATTATATGGGCTGCACTTTGTAATGCAGATGAGGTCTTTATTTGCCATTGGGTCATAACTGATCTGATTTATAATAAATGAGGTCTTAAAAAGTTCCATATTTTAAGTAATATCATGAAAATACCTCTTTTGAAGGAGGCTGCAGACGAACTGTGAACATCTCATTAAGCTTTCCAAAAACCTTCATTAAACTGCAGATTTTTGTTATCCCGACGAGGGACCTATGCAATGCGGTAAGCAGTTTTGGTAACATCTGGAGATGAAGTGGATTTACCTCAGAGAAATCAATTTTTTTGTGAAAGTTTCTGCAAAAGCAATGATTTAGGGGCAAATTGAAAATCCAAAAAATTCATGCTTAATACGCTCTTGAAAAGAGCATTAATTCGACAAAAAGGAGACTCCCTCAAATGGATTTGTGGTGAGAAGAATACACTTACATCTACGGGTGCAAGTGAGAATCAAAAGAGAAATTTAGTTAGTAATGCCTTTCATAAACGCGTTTCTTTTTCATACAAGATTAATTCAATGTAAATGTAGGGAAGTGGACAATCCACCCAATTTTTTAAGAGTAAAGTCCCCCTAGAAATGATTACGTAAGCATTTGGTATTTGTGAAGTAGCAGAAGGCATTAATAAAGTTGGCGAAAGGGGATGATGAATGTATTTTAAATGTGGGCTAAAGAGGTCGAAGAGGAGTGAGGTAATCAAAAGCGACTGCTTGTCTCTAGCATGATTTGTTTAAGGTATCTAAATGGTAGTGCAGACGACCACAACCTTTGATTAATTGTGACAAATTATTTAAGGGAATATCATTTCACATTTTTAAAGTCAAAGAGTGGGATGAAGCAAAACGTAACGCTTTAACCTCCTGTGAATTTGTCAATTTTACCAATCACAGGGCAGGTGAGACTTTTGCAGTTATTTGAATGAAATGCATTTGCAGATTGAGGCAGTTGAAGTTCCCGTAAATGTTTGCATTTACATTACTTGAATGCGTATGTTCAATTGCGGGCGTTTTATTTGGGATTGTGGGGCCATAGGTGCTACTAGACCTTCATTTTCTTTTTCCTCATGGAAGGTTGAAACTATGAAGGCAGTAATGTGTATTTTGAGAATCTTAAGCTTTTACTGTAGAAAAAAAAGGTGTTTGCAAAATAAATTAAATGTAAGTGACATGCCACTGGAAAACATTACTTGCTAACTTATAACGCAGTTAGGTGCGAAATTTGCCCACAAAACCGCTTCATCAACTATTCGGAGAGCTGTGCCTTTTGGGTCTTCACAATAGGGTTTGTTTATAAATTAATGCGATTCCTTCTATGTTGTTAAATGTTCTACAAGACATTGTTTCTTGAGTTAGGGGAAGGATGAAAGTGGCAGGCTTTAATTTTGGCTACTTTTGCAGCAGAACGGCTTTCCCATTTCGCTTAAATTAAGAAGTTGACTAGGAGGTCGAGGTGGGCTTTGGGGTGAATCCCACAGGCAGGCGAGGAGGTGCAGTCGCGGGGAGCGAGGGCACGCTGCCCTGCGGGTCGATAAGTCGTGCCACTGGGAGCAGCGCAAATTGCCCACACACAGGCGTGGGCGAACGGCCAGTTAGGCAGACAGCCAAGCAAGCAAGTGGGCTTGCGTACGGGCAGCTAGCGAATCAGTGGTCTTGCCCGTCCAATAAGGGACCTCCGAATGATGCCCTTAGAGGGGATCAACAGTTGAGGTTATTACGACAGTTTGTATGAATTAAGGTACCGTTGGCATCCGCCTTAAACATGTAATGATGAAAGTATTGAAAGTGGTGAATTAAGACACGGGAAAAAGCGAAAAATCTATTTGAAAAATTATCCTTCAAACCAGAAAAACTGCCCTTAAACGTTGCCAACCTAATAGAGTTTTATGCTTAGAAGTGCTCTATATTCTAGCAGTGGTATTTTCAAAATTAAAAACAGGAAATAGACTGTTCTACATCGCTGAGGTGTTAAACATTTTTTGTGTGACATATTGCAGGTATTGAGGAAGTGAAACGTGCATTTCCTGAAGAACTCACTTTCACCAGCACATTTTCGGTCAAACTGATTGTCTATTATTGAAATCATTTGTAATGAGTAGCACAGGAAAGCAACAATTTTCTTCTGTCAGGGGACTCTGATGAAATGAGTGTGAGTCTGCGTGGTGCGCCACCGGGACGTCGCATAATCTCCCACCTGCAGATCCGGAGATTCGACATCAAATACGAGGGCATCTACCAGTGCTACGTAGAGAACGATCTCGGAAGTGACCGCCACAATATCACCGCCATCTACGCTCCACCGGAGCCTCGGCCTCGAGATCTCTAGCGCCTCTGGGCAGCCATCCATTATTTTAGGTTCTTCTTGCATGCTGGACACAAATGCGCTTCCTTAAACCTCTTCCCTTAGTAAATTTTCTGGCTGACTTATTAAAGCGTAGGTAAAGTCATGTGATGTTTATTATGCTCATGTTTTAACAAATCATAATCCATAAGTGAAACTTTTAAATAAAGCACGTATTCGAGGGAATTTCAACCTTTCGGAAGCACAGGTAATTGTATTTTGTATGAAAATCAGTTTTTCAAAACTGTTCCTGAGATTTAATTTGCCATTTAGAAATGATGATTGGAGCATTCATAGGATCTATGTACAGAACAATAACTGAAATATAGGCAAATAAGAAATTTGATTTGCTTAAATTGCACAGTTCATATAGTTACAAAATCCAAGGATGTTAAATCATAAGATATACCCACAGATCTCTTCAAGAATTCGTTACTTTCACGATTTATAATTTTCGTTAATTTGATTAAGACCTAAATGATAGTTACGTCACTGACATTCCATGGTTAGAGCTCCACTTGATCGGATCCCACCTCAACTGCCAAACGCTAAGGTAGTAAAACATTTCAAGTAGAAGTCGCATCCACCGCACGTCCCACAAAAATGCGTGAGTTTAAAAGGCCTTCGCTTAGTGCCATTTGCGTCCCAAATAAGAAGATATGGTCATGAAAAGTTTTCCAATTTTAAGTGTTTTAGAACCTGTCTTACTCATGACTTTTTCTGGAAACAAGGCTAACTTCATCACAAACTTCAAAGACCACTGAATTCTTGAAGAACTTTTTGAAAATGCATAAATCTGTTGTATTCACTTTCTAACTGGTTGATAAGGTTTGCCTGCTACCAAATTTCGAATTGGATTAGATTCAGTTTTTTAAGATCTGTTGCGCAAATACAGCCAAAATTTTATCTGATTAATACTGGGAATTTTGTAAGGCACCTTCATGCTTAAAAAAGTCATTGCCTTGGTAAGTTTGCAAGACTGAAACAGCAAACTCCGGACATGTTTATCGATAGTTATGTTGTACACGTTGATCCGAAATAGTGACAAAAATACCGCCTCATACTCTGGCGTCGTAAATTTTAAGACATTAAGAAAAGATAAAGTATAGCAGAAACCGAGGTACTGACTCATTGTCACAGTTTCACAGCCCTCAATATTCATCCCGCCAATGCTTCATGCCAGTAAAAATGCGTTGGCATTACACCAACTCCTAAGATAGAGATACACTTCGACATTTAATAAATCTCGCTTGGAAATAAGAAGATAATTGGCAAATTTCAGAACTTTTTCGTATTTTAGAGGAGTTCAGTCACTGTGTGATTGTAAACGCTACTTAGAAAATTTGAGTAGGCGTGGTTTTTGCGAGCCAAAGCTGCGAGAGGCTAGAGAAGTAGGACTAAATAATAGGTCAAGTTTACACATTGTGCATAATAGATAGGGAGCTCATAATCGATTCCTAAAGGTTATTTTTTGCGTGCAACTGGGCATCTAACAACTCACAATAAAATTTAAATTTATGACTCATTTCCAAATGAAAAGTCACATTTAAAACCTTATCGTTTCTTTAATTTAACTTGCACAAGTTTTCTTTTCAAAGAGCAGAAGTAATGGAAAAAAAATGTACATAGTGTCAGCATTAAATGCTTCATTAATTGAGTTTGTTTTACAGATATTTGCAACTTTTGAAGATTCTATCACTGATGCTTTATAGCTCTTTTATCGGTACTATTTGATCTACGCATTTTCAGCGTTGACTGACTCATTGGTCAAACTTAAAATAAACTACTTGAGGTATAAAGTGACGTTAGCACGCAAGTATTACTAGCATACCTCAACTTCCCACAACTTGAAAAGTAAAAGGGGTTTTGCAAAATACCAGGTTGAATTTATTAAACTGAAAAACTGATTTGTGGTGTTCACAATACACTTTTTTCAACGATAAGGCCTTTATAATCGGTAGCCAGACTCTTATTTAGCAGTTTTTGATAATTTCGCTAATTTACTTGAAATTGACTCGAAGCGCAGTTTCAAGTTCTTAAACTTGTTTTACCGTTCAAGTTCTCATGTGCCAAGGACACAGCAACAAGTGGCCTAATTACCCTTTTTGCGACTGACGGTCTAGAAATATGCAGTAGAGATGGAATAAGAGTTGAGAAGTCCCCCACAAAAGCAACTGATGCTGCAGAGCGAAGCACAGGCCTGACTAGTGTGTCCAATTTGAGGGAATTCAGAAATAAGCAAACACGTCAAAATTTGCCCATTAAATGTAAACAGTAGTCAGAATAACAGCGAATATTATCTTTTATGTGATTCAAAAGATAAATTGCATATACCATTTGTAAATCTTGAGGAAGTTTGTACTAAAATCCTCTTATTTACTCAGTGCAAAGTAGGTGCACAGTGCGATCGGATCAAATTCAGGCAAAGTTGAAACTTGGAGACATAAATTAGTGGTAAATATCACTTTATGCAAATTTTGAGATCAAATCACTGTCAATTTTAACATGAATTTCTATTCACACGAACGCGTTTTATGTGCCTGGGTGGGCAAAATTATCCTAAAAATCGGCATTGCTGACAATCCTTTCATCTTTTTTCGAAACATTGGGCATAGAAGCCGAATTGCCCGTGTTAAACCTTTCAAGGTGGATGAAATGTAAAATGTCTGATTCAACGGCTATCGTCTCGTTTACTGCATTGATTCCGTTTGCACCTTGTTTTATTCCCAAAAGCAATGTACTAAGTTCTAATCAAACTCATTCAACTAGATTACCACCACATATACGTGGGAGATGTTTGTAGGGAAATATCCTTGGAGCAAGCAAACAACTGTTTGTTGCATCCTATTGCAGTGCTTTGATTAACTGTCAAGTTTCCATAACAATACGGTAATGGTGACAAATTAGTGGCTTTCGTGGTAATTCTAAGTGAAGTCTCAGCAAACAATTTAAAAGCATAAAAAGGTAAGAAATGATGACTATTTCCCAAAATTGGTAAAGTGGTGCAAAATAATTATTAGGAAACGAAGTCAATTGAACTGAAGTGAAAAAGCCTCCGAAACATTAAATCGACGCAAATCAGTACTAAAATTTAAGGACTTTTTTAAATTAATCGTGTTCCAAATGGCAAATACTTTGTCCACCGATACAGATTGCAAATGCTGCACCACGGAATTTCGTCTGCCCATTCACGTAGCACGGTAAAATCAAATCCCATGGTTGAAAACAACAAGATGCAACACCTAGTATGGATGGCTCTTAATCAAATAACAAATCTAAAAGTTTTTGAGAAAAATATCTTTAACATTATACTACGCAGCAGAGTAACTCGGTAAAATTCAAAAACGCTGAGCAGCCAATTTACAACGCTTTAATCTACACCCGTGAGCGTGGTACCACCGGCTCATTTCATTTGAAAGCATATCTAGAATCGCCGCTGTTAATGCCCGACAAATGAAAATCTCGAATAGGTCAAAAGTTGTTCAAGTAAATATATTTATGGGTCAATAACCAGCAGAATGAAAAATTTGCATTGGAAAGTTTTGCCAACATCGCAGACGTTGATAAAGAAAAGGCATTTAGAACTAGTTTATATAAGCCATTTGATGGCCGAAAGCACGCGACATGCGACTGGAAATTTGATTACCTTGCAGCAAATTAGATTGTACAATCCACCTTGGCCAAATGGTCTCCTCACCTACAACGATTTTAATTAGAAAGTGTCTTGTTATATTGCTGGTAAGGCCATTTCTTTAAAAAGTGTTATAGTCTAGGTATTGGAGGTAATTTTGACTAATCACGGGTCACCACATTTCCAGATTCATTTGCAAAGTGATAAATTTTGCAGTTAAACTCTCACAAATGCATGTGAATCGCACCACGCTATGACATTCGAATGAATGTACACAGAACATTTACTTCAAAACATCTTAGCAAAGAATGCGACCATGTGGCGCGGGGAAAACCTAGCTAGCGAACTTGACGTGGAATTCATGCCAGCACGGGATATCTGAAGAAGCGTCTTGACGATTATGCTAGAATGTTATTGTTAGCCTAAAATCCAACCAAACATAGACTTATGCTTAAAATTAAATTGAAGTTCTCCAGTACTTTAATGCCATGAAACACATTTATGGGTGAACGAGGGAGGAAGTGATTTAGTGCAAAGCGTGGTAAATACAGCGAACCTATTTTCAACTGGTTCTAATAATAGAAAGTTTAGAGAAATTGTAGAAAAATTAACGCATGGATGCAAGATGCTTTACTAGAGTTTGAACCATAATACTGCGACTCACACTAAATATATACAAACTAGTAAATTTGACAAATCACATTTTCATTGAGATGCCTAAAACTGTGTACAGTTCGAACTTATGAAAGGCATTAGCAACAAGAGAATCATGAGTTCTAAGCTTTAATTTGGAAAATTTCTGCTGATTAAAGATGCTTGTACGTTGACTTAATATGCATTCATTAAACATCCCTCTGCTATTAACCGTTCTTATTCATCTTAGCAGTTTGCCCTCTGAAAGAAATCCCACAAGACATGAAAACCTTTGATGCTGGTAAAAAAGTTGGCAACTGGATGCAATCGTTCCGGATTTCATGCTACTAGTAGTGCCTTATGATGTAGTTACACAAAATAAAAATGCATTAAAAAAGAGAACATATTGTGGATTGGCACACTTCAGAGCGTTTAAGGCGCTGATTTTTGATTGCCAGTAATGATACTAAGATTTCTTCCAGCAACAATAGCTGTTACTGACTACTTGGCATTTCGATGCAACAGTCTGCACAGACACAGGAGCTTGTTATTCCGAAATGGGGCATTTACTTGCTTTGAGTTTCACGATGTTCGCAAGTTGCTACGTAATTAGAAATTTCCATTGCAATGATCTAAGCCACACTCCTTCTCTTAATGTACACAACAAATATTTACGGGAGCATTTCCATTGCTATTTTGCCCTCCAAACTACTCATTTACTTTAACTGCTGGCTACTTTTTCCTGCTCAATAATGAAAATCAACGCTGCAAACAGGATTCTCGCAGATCTTTTCAAAGCGCTGATATCTATGCTTTTATTGATGCTCAACTTTCCTAAAAATTATGGTTTTTATATAAAAGGAGAGTATTCATGAAATAAAACACACCTTCTTACTCAATCGCTGCATGAACAAATTCTACCTGAAAGCGGAGAAATTCAACCATTACATTGCCGCTCATCATGCTGCCAATGGCCGAATTCCCATCCCAATCACATCCAAAAACTAAACAGCGAGTGGAAAGAAAGTACAGAATCGTTGATTGCGGTCTGTTTACTAAGAAAATGGATTCACATCTATGTTCTTGTAGTACAATGCCTCATTGGATTATATTTATTTCACCCAAAGCCATTACTAATAGTATTAGGTGCTAAATTAGCTTGCAGCTACTCAATTTTCAGCCGTCAACTGTTGTCCTGATTATAAAAAGGCTGAAGTGTTACCGCCGAAAAGCCGGCCACCTAGCACTTGCACCCCAAATGTCGTTCGTTCTTTTGGGTCTTCGCACTCACGGCTGCCAATTTCAGCATTTACTTTTATTGACACAAAATATGCCTACTCCTTTCACTTCAAATTGAAAACCTATAATGTAAAAAAATTAACGGGACTATTTTATGCTAAGTTGGCTAAGAATAGATTATCCCTGTCTATTAGTGAAAATTTATTTATTTATTTAGAGTCCAGAAGACTCTTGAACTAAGGGCATTTAAAGTAGCAAGATCAAAACTACTAAGGTAGGTTAAATTTTAATGATTGAGATTCTTGATGGACCTTTTAATAGTACGATTTTGAGAAAGGTTAAAATGGAATTGGACACTGGCTAAGTTAGCCATTAGAAGTACAACAAGTATGCTGTTTTTTTTTCATCTTATTGCTATGACCAAAGTGTACTTAGTGACAGACGATGGTTCTCTTCTGATGTAGGGCCGTTTGTCCATTTAGATACAAGTTATTACTGTAGAAAGCCTCATTAGAGCAAGGACTTCTTCAAAAGACCCGCTTTACACATGAGGTTACAGGAATATTTGCCCGGGTAACTTAATTTTCAAGCACTACTGATGTTTGTCGATTTGGCGTTGTAAATATATGTATTTGGATCACAGGAATGCTCGCTTTTGGATGCGTCACAGAGAAAGCCTCTCCCTCCTTTATTTGCGGTTTGCAAAAGACGGTACGGAGATAGAATCTGCGCAGTAGGCTAAAAGCGCACCTCATTGTTGTCCTGAAAATTAATGGTAGGCACAGTGGGATACTAAAAATGTTTTGCATTTACAAATTGTGCAAAAATCATATGATTAGGCCAAAACCATTATTCCTTCATTGTATAAACTAAACGTCGTCATCTAGAGCAACGAGGTTTTTAAATGGAGGAGGCATATTTATTCCTACTGGTTGCTCCTTTCTCTGGGAAAAAGACTAAACAGCAGTTTGTGATTGCGCCTGCAGTTGCGTGTGATGGCTATTTCTTGCATGCGCTTCGGTATTACAGTGTAGCAGTACACATGGTAAAAACGGACGTATTTGTAAACCGAAGATGAGTAGGGTGACTGCATTTCGAAGTATCTAACGAAGCAATTGGCTACCGTATTGCAGGGATTTGCTACTACTCTTGGCTTGATTGAAATAGTTGGCAGCTCAACAAAAAATTATTCAAAGTGACCGATTCGAAGCGTTGTTGACGATAGTAAGCTCACTTAGGATTATTTCATTTTTGGGTTATTATCTAATTTTATCCTACTTATAATTAATTTAGTGCACTGCAGTTAAAGTATAAGCTAAAGACTGTAAATTAATTTTTAACTTCCTAAATACTCATAGTTATCCCTACAAGTGCAAATACCTCTAGATTTCTTCATGTTTCTTTAGAGAGCTCAGTGATGGTGTTAATCTTTGTTAATGTTTCGCGCCAACTTAGGCTTTGATCTTGAAAGAGCGGGTATTCACGTCAATGCAGGCGGCATTTCACGTTTGTCGGGAGATTTGTACGGAATTCGGCAATTTTTCACTAATAAAATGTCCGCTGTTTAAGGAAATGCAAATACTTTCAGTAAATCAACATGCCACCATAAAACATTTCACAGCTAGTTGCATCAAAAATTGCCGATGAAAATAAATCACACACATTCAAACAACCTCTGTTTAAAAATGAGGCGCAAACTCACAATTATTTTAAAAGTGCGCTTCATTAAATGTAACATGATTGAAGTGGAGAGCAGCCTGCCAAAATGCATAATGACTTTGATGATTTTAAGTTATTAGAATTGGGTTTTATTTCCTTCGGTATGATACGGCTCTGAAATAAATTTATTGCAGTTATTCAAGAAATGCTCCTAATTTTGGTCGCATTCAGCGTCCACTGGTGCATACTTCAAAAGTAATTAAAGTGCGTCTTAGTCCGTGAATAAGGATTTTAAAGCAATATGAATGGATTGTATTTACAAAGGCTTCCAAAATCTAGGTATGACAACAGGTATCTCACCGTGCGCCAAGCTTGCGCAAATTTCTCATAAGTGGATATGGACTAACGCCATAAACGCTAATATACTAACGCCACTTTTTACCACGAAACATAAAGTACTAATTGCATTGAAAATATTGCGGACTTGGGCCGTTTTTCCACTGTCGTTTGATAACTGAAGAAATGTTCCTATATCAGATACGAGCAAGAGAAATTTTCTCACCCCTGACAAAATAGTAGCTGGAAATGAAAAAAAATATGCTGATAGATAAAATGGAAATGGCTAGACACATTGTCGATTAAGGCCTTCTTTAGGAAAAAGTGGACGACCAAAAAATAGTGACGAAGGACGAACAGTTTAAGCATCTCCATTTAGGAAGGCAACATTTTCAATCTTCCATCTTCCATTAGGGAGATCCACAGCAACCTTTCAGTGCAAAGAAAAATAGCGTACAATCTAACTGTTATAAAAAGAGGACGCAGTTTCACATTTTCCTGACACGAAAGTTTTCAAGTTATTCCATTTCTGTATAGGCGATATCTCATACGATTTTTTACTGACTAGCTACAGCATCTTTTTAATGGTTTGTTTGCGTGTTCTTCAAATCTAGATAGCTCAAAATTTCAAACCTTCATGGACTTTAAATTTTCGTTACAATATCTATCGTATTTACACCAGCGTTTGATATAGAGAGCTAATAAAATTTGGTCCACAAGCAACAAGTAAGTGTTATTTGGCATACAAATCCAAATGAACCCATATTAATTCATACTCTATGTTAGCATTTCCAAGTTACGTCAGCACTGCATGGAACTATGCCTCAACATCTTAAAAATGAGTTTAACATTTAATCTATTGAAGTGTCTACATTTTGGACTTTGTTTCATAACCCGCTTCGTTAAGCTTAATAAATCCATTCCTCATTGAAACTGGAATACTTGAGCAAAAACCGGACACAAGATTAATAGACAGTCAGTTGGAATGGTGACAACCGAATAAATAAGACAAGTCTTGACCCCTTTTTTAAGGTTAAAATTTATGTGGAAATATGCTAGGTCACTGGCCTACACAATCATTTACTCGATGTTCCGAATGCTTGAGCACAATCTTTTCTTACCGATTGATACATCATTTCGACACATATTATCTACATAACAGTATGAATAATAGCTTCATGCAACAAAGCTTAAAATATATCGCCTTTTGAGCGGCGTATCCCTCCCCCTAAAGGAATAAAGTAATTGAATGAGGTTCGCCCCTACTTTTTTCTAATTATTCTCTGTGAATTGTGTTGAATATCTGGGAATTTAGGTTTTTGGAAAGTACTGGAACTAAGTTAATAGCCTAATTACGTTCCTCATTAATACAGCTAAGGACACAGTGATATATCAAGTACGCCTCATCAGTTAAGAAGGCGAATAATTCTTCTCTGTTTACATAAATACATTTGGTCGTACAAATATTATTAAACGCACTGGCTCAGAAATGTTCGTCAACCAACGAGTTTAAAACAAATTAGAAATTCTTAGAATTTAAGTATCTCTGGTTTGTTTATGTAGTAAAAGAAATACAAAAATCACACTAACTTATTGGGACTCTCTTAAATACGCATTACATGTATATACGCAACAGGGGATGAATTTACAGGGCACAATCAACTCACAACCATACGCTCTGTACCCACGCATGTATAGATAATAAGCGGATAAATGCTGCCGATTAGAAGAGTAAAATTTGAGGGGAAAACGTACATGCGATGTTGTTACTCGCCCGTCTGTACAGTAATGATTAATGGCTGACATTTTTTCACCGTCCGACATATTTTAGCACTTTGTAAGGTAACTTTCGGGTGCCACCACTCGCCTTGGTTTAGTAAGTACGAGTTTTACAGTATTGCGAGCTCAAAATTAGAGTCACAGTAATTTGTTTTTTTCCCAATTTTTGGGCATGTTTTGTATAAGATAAAGGCATTTATATGACATTCCCACTGTTAATTTTTGCAAAAATATTTATAATGAAAACGCAAGGCACTGTATTATTTAGAGATACCTGACTGAAATATTGAAAACTTTATTGAAAGTTCATGTGGTGAAAATGGTTTATTTACCTAATGCAGATTTGAAGCACACAACATGCATTATAAGAAGCCCATTATCACGGCATTGCTACTATATACACTGCTTTTATATTCCAAAAGTTTGACCCAAATTTGTTATTAAGCGGCATTTTTCATATTAATATCAAACATCTTTTACTGTGGGCGATCTACTTTAATTTTTATGGACTTGATGAAACACTCATTGTGGTATATTTTGTCAACTAGGCGTTTCAATTAAATAGTATGGTTCAGATATTCATTTACAAGTTCCTACATTATTTGCAAATCCGATTAAAATTAATCGCTATTTAAAAATATATTGAGCTAAATTTGCTGCACGTGTTCTAGTAAGAGAATAGAAATTAGATCTATTCTAGCAAGTCTCGATCCTATATATCAGGTTGCACTACAAGCCGTCTCATGATTTAGTGAGAATACACATTACCTATTCATATCCGTACCGAGTAAGTGTCTTCAAATTAAATATGTTTACATATGGCGGAAATTGAAGTCAGTGGGTCTTCACCTCTTCCACACATCTCCATAACCATTGGTTTTGTAAGAATTGTTATTATTTTAAAAAAGGAAATTTCCTGTGTTGTAAGAATTAATTAATTGCCTTCCTTTAAACAATAAAAAGTCAAATAGATATGAGACCAACTTATCTAGGCAGTTTTAGAAGTGAGAGGCGCTCGTGGTTGCCTTTTATATTATCTAACCTCTGTAGCGTGAGGTAAATTTTGGGGCTGCAAAACTAAAGATTTGTGCATCAGTAATCCACGAGTGCTTACAATCTACAACTTAAAAAATAAAATTTAGATCTGCAAAACTAAAAGCAAACTACACAAAAAGTGATTGCGATAACCTTTTGACGGAAAGTTGAATTTTGCTGAAAGTGAAGTTTCTGTGGAAACTTGACGGGCCAGATAGTGAATGCTTCTTATGCGTGACGCTACTCGAAAAAGCGTTAATGCCAAATGATAAATAAATCTCATTATAAAGCTTACAAAATGTCTCCAGTCCTTACGACGTAAAAATTCCCTGCAGTCGTTGATGGCGAAGTTGCATCAATCGTCACAACACATTGCAAGAGTTGCTGCGAAATGAAAAAGTAACAACGACCTCCTCCCTACCGTTCTAACGGCATATGCTATTTTAACAGTAAGTTTATCAAGTGGATTACTATAGTTAATGGACTTTTATGCGCCTTTCTATTACAAAACCCTATTAATAAATAAAACATGCAGACAGTTAACAAGAATTTGCGTCGCAGTTTTCGACGCGACACCAAAGACCGAGCATCATACAGGTAGCATTTGTCAACTTAAAATGCTCTATAACGACATGTAAACCTTGTCAAGAATAATTCAAGTACACCTTAACTTCATTTAACTTTATTCAAAATCACTACTTTTGAATGTAGCATGTTTTGTTTGAAATTAAGGAATTACTCTCTGCAAGTTTTGCTGCTTATAGAAAAGTACTTTCGTCTAGACTTTACTAATAAATAGATTTGACATCAAATCTCTTATTTTCAGCTTGAAAACGTGTAGACACAGACGGTTTTTTGAATGGACTTAGCCGAATGGAATCCATTTGCGCCCGTTTTATGAAGTTAATCATACACTAGAAAAGTGTTTACTTTTTTCGTTGTGACATTTATTGCATCGAAATACTTTTTATGCAGTGCTTTGCACGTATACGATAGCGGAAGGCATTGCAAAATGTGTACGTTTGTATTTCGACACAATTGTGCTGATTAACGACTATGCATTTGAAAGTTTTACACATCCTACTCCACACCCCTCATTATACTGCCGTAATCGGTGCCAACGTTTTTGATTATACATTATTTTAAGTTAAATATGAAATGCACAATTACAACACAAATGTCTAAATCTCCGCATCAGCTGAATTGACGAGGGGATAGGGGGTGGGAGGGTTTGTAAACTTGCGAAATTTATACGCACCAATACTTTGAGCGTAGAAGAGTTTCTGTGAGTCATTTGGGACAAGTTGTAAAATCAAAGGCTGCAGCTGGTAATAAAATGACTTATGAGTTAGCGGCAACTATGTGTAGTAAAAAATACAAATACGTGGCAAAGATAGGTTGGCATGTTGTGTCACATTTCATATTATCAGATGTATTACAGAACGCTCTGTGTATTAATAACTGATTATACGTGGTTTAGTGCACAGCTATGGGTAGGTGCTAGTTAACTCCAAAATTACACCGTAAATACAAAGTAATTACTGCTAGAGTTAGTTCACTGATAAAATGAACTACATGGGTTTATTTATTAAAGCTTAAAAAATTAGACAAGGATATCTAGGATTATTTGTCAAATATTATTGTAATTTGGCATATAGTGGTGTGTCGTTTAGCCACACTATAATAATGGACAAAAATTACGGTAGATTTGAAAATTAGACAAAAACATCAGGTAAATATGCGCACGAAACACGTGATCCTAAAATAAATTGACGCGACATCTTACAGTTGCGCATTTTATATTTTAGCTCATAATTTACATAATGTCGAGAATTCTAGGATATCTTATCATTATTTACCCTAGTATTCTTGCTTTTTCAAATAAAGGGAAATACGTGCAAGTAGAGAATCACGCTGAAGCTCCACCCACACGTACTGAGATGTCGTTTTAACTGAAATTTAGACAATTTAATTGCTATTAGAAAATGCCTCTTCTAGCGATGCTTTCGGAAAAACAAAAAAACTAAGTAGAGGTCTCCCCCAAAACTTGCCTCCGTTATTTTCTAAGTTCTTCTTTGCAAAATCAAGCCAAGGACTGTTATGATATTAAAAAACCCAAGTAGATAATTTTACGAACGAAAAGGAGTTGAAACTAGGTCATTATTGAGTTATAAATTAGTGGGATCTTAAAGTAAACAAGGTTCTCTTAGAAGATTTTTATTTTACTACACCCTAGATAATATAACCTTCTGGTTATTTTTCCCATATTTCTCACAAAATTGGAACAAGAATGTAATATTGTTGCAGTTCAAATAGATCTCTAAAACACCTAACAGGATAAAAGTGGATTAAGTTCAGGCACAAAAAATCAAGTGATACCTTTATTTAGTAAGTTTTTGTTGCAACGCAGGAGCACAAATAGAATAATCATTTTCCTGTATCTCATGTTACACGATCTTTCATGTTGCAGATGAATGGTATACACATAAATACACGGAGTCTTAAAAATTTACCATGACTTTTGTGAATTCGATTGTCATCTGCATGGAGGATTAAAAAAATTTCCATTTTTAAGGTTCCCTCTAGAGGGGGTAAACAGTTCACCCAGTTTGCCAATTTTAAAACAGCTTAGTCTGCAGCGTTTAGACCAGAAAGCTTCAAATGGTAAAAAGTCTACTTCAAAATTCACATCTAAAGTGGTCATTTTTATGAAGAACTAAAGCAACTCAACAAATGACCATTCCACTGAATTGGGCAATTTTATGTTCTCTTTATCAACATTCATTTTTTAGAAACTCACTCCCTAAAACTTATTCTCTGCAAATTCTTCTTTACTATCACCCTTTATTCATGGCGAAATATACATGCTATAGTTGGTATTTTTCACTTTCGTTCGTTACTCCGAGTGAGGGTTGGGGCTCAGTGATAAAGGCCAACGTGCCGCAAATGCGTTTTCGACATTAATGAAAGCAGACAAGTCCGATTTATAAATTACAGACAAAAGTGCTCCGGCAGTGTCCTTCCAACATATTATTTACACACTACGAATGGAAGTGGTGCTACAGCAGCGGTTATTGTGGAAATTGAGCTTCTGCCTTTGGCGGCAAGTTGCACCTGCTTCCCGTATGCCCATGGGAGGTGGGTCTTTAGAGTAAGATTCCAGTGGCTAGAATAACTCCCCGCTAAGTAGCTCGTGCAGCCTGCTCATTGACAGTTTTGGTCGGTGTTTCACTTTAGGATGCTTCTGTATTGCATATTCTTCTACCTATAGTAGACGAGAGGTAAAACAAAAAACATGTTCGACTATCATTAAATTAAGGTTGTCAAAGATTAGTACAGGTGCCGCTTTTAGGGATGGTTAAAAATTGTTGTTTTGTAAAGGCGCTTCGGTTTTTTAGTGTGTTCACCTAAAACAACCTCTAAAAAGCGATGAGAGTGTTAGGTATAAAACAGCAACATGAGCTTCGATGGCTGCAGAACATTCGTCAGGAATTTCATTCGTTTAATTAAGAAATTTAAAAGAGATCAGGGTGGTTTTAACTTATTAAAAATAAGGGTAGTATGAGACCAGGATCTAAATAATTTGGATACATTAGAGGAAAGCAACACCCTAATCAGTCAAAGTTGGGTGCATTTAATATTTGACTAATAAATAGAAAAAGACAAAACCAACACACAATGATAGGGCGACAGAACCATATAATAATGTGGGTTATTCGCAATGCTTATCGTACGCTCGTAAATAACAGTAACTGTTGTAATGCTACCTTTCCGTGAAGCTCAATGCCTAGCGACGAAAGGGTTCGTACAGAGCTTGTCAGTAAATAGGCGCGATGCTGCCTACTTACAAGCTGAAGGCTCTACAGAGTTTCACGCTCACCTCCGCACTCGTAACTTTTGATATCAAAATTTTCTTATAATTCTGCTATGGTAGAGTGAAAGAATGGTAGAATATTAGAGGGTTGAAACTGAAAGAAAGTGGAATAAAGCAGACGAGGAAGTAAATCCGATTTTTTACTAGCGTGATTGGAGTTACCAAATGCACTACAATTCGCTCCAGAATTTCCCCGTATCTTACACAAATATGCAGAAGAATCAACCATTGGTGGATACACCAAAGTGAACAGAAGTACTCACAGGATCTACTGACTAAAGATCAAAGGCAGGACATAGAGACTCCTCCTCGTTTTAAAAACAAGTCAAGAATGACAGTCAAAAGCAATTCTGCATCTTCTAAAGAGCAAGGAAAAGAGTATTTCCGCATAAGAACTTCGGAAAACTCATTCAAAACAAATCAAAACACCCAATCACATGCATAAGAGAATTAATAACCTCTTTATTCAATAGGTACATAGGGAATAAACTTTGCAGACTCTGCTTACCTTGTTTAAAGGCTTTTAATCCATAAGTCAAACCACTTAAGCACTGTACCTTCCAATGAATTGCGCACAGTTATATAAGCTTTCAGGATGCGAACGTTAAATAGATAGTTTGTGATTTCCTTGGGTAAGCACTTGTTATTCCAATGAACGCTATTAGAATGAGAGAAACGACTTAAAGACCAAGCATTTTTTTCAAAACCGTAATTATTTTATAATAACAGTAATAAAAAGCTCTAAGTACATCCAAAGTTTTGGCTGATTTATACCCTGTGAACATAAGAAAATCAACATTACGTTCATGTGGCTATTAATCGAGTTGAACCGGTGTTAAAGTGATTAAGTTAAGTGGCGTCCTGGGCTAAATTCATTACAAGTCCCAGATCCGCGCCTAATCCTATGAGGCTTATTTGCATAAATCCTTGTGCAAGGGAGTTTATGGAAAGTGAGCCTCGTGCGAGGAAACGTGTACTTTCATTACGTCGCTAAGGTGGCTTAGCGCGGTGCTTAAAACTCACACGTTGATTACTTTAGCCAATTACTCTTATAGATCGCTCTAAATCTCACAAGAGCTCGCAGATCTACCAAAGAGAATGACTTTAATTTAGGAATTTTTATAAAATTTGGATTGTCACTTCCATATCGAGCTAAATCTTTCCAAGGCGTCAACTCAATTAAGTGCGCATTTTAAGCCGCTTGTTTTTTAAATTCTATACTCGGCTCAATTGTGAGACGCGTATTTTTACTATATCAGCTGGCAGCGAATTAGTGCACCGTTACTGTACATATATTGGTCCATATTAGTTTCATTTAGAACAATTAGGCATTTTTATTTATTTATTATTTATTTATTTATTATTCAAGAGACGTTCTTCACTGAATCCTACTTGTGTCCTCACTTTCAAATAGTTACAAGATACCATTATTTTTGTTTACATGTAAAAATACTTTGAATTAAATGATTCATGCACAGCATATATTCGTGCACTGCCACTTCCTGAAACTCGGATGAGTACGCTTTAAGAAATCCTTTTAAACACAGCAAGTCCATAGGAAGAAATTTTCTTCGATAGTATCCCCCCTCGGGACTATCACATTTTTAGATGACTAGAGGCCAGTTTTAAGACTGTCTCTTTTTCTTAAAGACCTGGAGTTAAAAAATCCGTTGTTAACACTTGAATATTCCGTGTAAGTGTTCTTTTCAAGTTTCGGCACCACCTATACCAGCTGCTGAATTTTTACCCTTATACGTGCCCTGTTACCTTTGTAAAGCTTCCACTCACGAACCGGCAATGCTTCCTCCGTATGATCACCGGTAACTGTAAATGCCAAAAATGCAATTTAATAGTCAAGCCTCTGCAACCATTCCTTGGTATGTTAACCGAATCTAGAATTAAAAATGCAGTATGCTTAGTTCAAATAAGCATATCATCCTATTTGAGGGTGAAGCATTGTGTCAGCAAGTACAAATGCAACACCTAGAAATATTCAAGGCTTTGTTTGTGCACTATGTCCAGCCAATATGGGCACACGATCGCAAAATTTGCAGCCAGAGTTCAAGAAGTAGATGAGTAGTGTCTGAACATTTCAAGCTGACCTTCGATAAGAGCAAAGTCTTAACAGAAAACACTTTGCCTCATTACTTTTGAATCGTTTGTAGATGGGAAATTGAATCTAATTTTGGTTTAAATGAAACAGGTGAAAAGTTTGCTGGAAATTTTAAAGGGGAAAAAAGACTCCAAACAGGTTCATAGGTCTCCATCTGTATCACAACTAAGATGGCATTTTCCTGTAAGGTAGTAGAAAAATTGTATCTTCTCAACTAAAACTGAAAAATAAATCAGTTGGAAAAGACGACACTAATAGAATGGAAAAACAAATAGGTAATTTTAAAGTCATTTTATTTTGGAATTTGCTATTTTAGGCAAATAAAAATAATGCCTGTTATTTCTATCTGCGAGCCAAATAACCAGTATGAACAATGAATGGTTGGCCTAGCGAGCATTTATTTAGCCTCACCGAACATTATCACACAACGCTTAAATATTTAAAATGAACTTATCCGTTTGGGTTAGCATTTCCTCAACATTTAAATAGATGATATACTACATGCACTCCCAGCATAAAGAAATACAGAAGATAAAATCCATTACGGATGAAATATAATGAGAATAAAAAAGTAAAGAGGCCCCAGAGTACACATACGTTAAGAAATAAATCCAGGATTATCGATCCCACCAAGGCACACATCGGTGGACCGGAGCAAGCGACTTTTTTCTCGACCTGATTTTTGAGAAACTGGATGGTCAGTGGGCTCATCAGGCAAAGCCTTTGACATGTAACCATTCGTAGTAAGGCAAAAAATATCAAAGTTTTGAAATAAACTTGTACAGACGCGCCCCTCAAATAAATCAGTTTCCTGGTTGAGAAACATAACTGGACAAATATTTTGGCGTTTGCAAAAGGCTGCAAATGACTCGCATTCAGTTAGATGATCAATCACGCTTGGTCGCTCGTAAATTACAAAGGAAAACGGGTCGATAGGCTCTATGGAGGTGCTGCCTGAGGTTCACAGATGTGCT